GAACACCTGAAAATGATCAAAGTGAGACTTTAAAGGACAGGTTATATTATATATTTGATTGGAGTGAATAAGCACCCCCTTGTGGACAAAGCAGTCTCTCCTTTTGAGTCAAGACCTTCGACCAGAAATCTCAGGGCTGTTTCTTCAGCTGCACGGCTGACCAAGACCCCTTCAGGAACTAAAAATTACACATAGACTGTATATACTGTGGACAACTTGGCTCCGCCTTCCATCATTATACAAATTTGAAGTAGAATTGCTCTCGGTATTTCCACAATTTGTCTCCAATTCCTGAAACCACCGCTTGCGCAGTAGCGTTGTGCGCATTCAGGATCTTTGACCTTTACTGCAGCCTGTCACCAGAGGGTGCTGTTCTCGCGGTGGCTTCACCCAGCGTCCATTCTGTATACAGTCTCTGAAAAAGTCGCCAGTCTTCATTGATGGTCAGTCTATTCTGCAACCTCCAAAAACCCCCTACAGGAGCTTTAATCATGCACGCTGCACAAACCTTCACTCCTCTCACTGTAGGAGTCGACATTATTTTCTCTTATCGTATATAAAGGCATCATAACTGAAGTCTCTCATGACGGAGAAAAGTTTTATTATCCACACTGACTCAGATGAAGATATATTATATATTCTTTAAACCGCTCTGAAGGTGAATCATAAAAAGCTCCATTAATCCTCATCATGTAAAGTTCGTTTTTAAAGTTTCTTCATATACGTGGAGGAGACCCGGACTGTTCTCACGGGCTCACGGCGTTTCATCAAGAAACCATAAATTAATACACAACATGGACTCCAACAAAGAGCGACTGTTCCCCCGTCTGAACAATAAATCATTAGTCACATGGACATTAGCTGCTCCATCAGAGCTCCTCATGCAGCACATTAAGAGCAGCTGCCGTGGAAAACACACACACACACACACACACACACACACACACACACACACTGCAGAAGAGTTAAATATGACGCAGGGAAACACACAGATTCGCCTCCCTGCTGAGCGTGTACAGCTTTAAAGATGAAAGAGACGAGCTCCGAACATGTAAAAGCCATCAGACCATCACATCCATCACTGGGTCAGCCTCCTCCTCAAACTACGTCCTCCTCCTCCTCCTCCTCCTCTGTGGGAGAAATTGATAACATATTGTCTGTCTGCTCTATAACTGCCTTTGATTACAGCGGAGGACGTCTTCTTTAAGTGTAAACAATCGGCTCTACAGGAAACGTGGAGGGACATAAATACAGTACAGGAGTGGAGGGGTCAGAGGTCAGAATAACATGATAGTATTATAGATGTCACCCAGACGGAGTCCCAAAGAAGAAGAGACGTATAAATGATTGGAGTACTTTATATGCATCATTATGCACATTTATAAATACACCTTTGTTATTATTAGGGCTGTAATACTCGACAGGTCAACTTACCGTATTTCTCGCACTATAAGGCGCTCCATCAATGAACGCGTCTGTTCGCAACTATTTTCATACATAAAGTGCACCAAATTATAAGGTGCACTATACTGCAGCCCGTCACCAGAGGGTGCTGTTCCAGGGGTGGCTTCACCAAGTGAGGAGGCAGACGGCGTCCTTTCTTTATACAGTCTATGGTCGAGTCGACCAAAATTCTGATTGGTCGACTCGATTCCTCTCCGCATCAATTTACATGGTTAATTTCATCAGGAGGGATGTACCAAGTGTTTTCAGAGAACCCCCGTTTCACTGGTAACAGCCTGTCTCAGGACACCCCCCTTTTTTTCCTCCATTTTGGATTCGCCCGACCCACTGGCGACCGTGGGAGACAGGAAGATTAAAGAGCATCCACGTTAATCAACATCAGGGGGTTTGATGAATATCTATTTTTATTTTGAGCGTTTCAACCGTAGACTGTACAGAGAATGGATGAAGCCATTCCGAGAACAGCACCCTCCGGTGACGGGCTGCAGTACAGGTCATAAATCCCGCCTCCTCCAGTAATCCCTATGGAGCTGTGGACAAACTTTAGAAATTAATGACAGAATATAGATGTTTCTCTCCCCTGGTTGTGATGTTGACATGTAGTTACTGTCAGACTGGTTTGTGCTCAAGTCCTCTTTTTTTCTCTACAGCTCCATTTTTAAAAGTTATTAGGGGGTTCATGTTTTCTTTGATTGACACTTGATACAGCCTATGGGTACACAAAGATTGCATACATCACCCGGGGGATACGCTGTTTGTGTACAACGCTATGGCGCAATGTTGGTTTCAGGAAATGGAGAAAAAACGTGGAAATACCAAGAGATCTTGGGCTTCAAATCCGTACACTGACGGAAGGCGGAACCAAGTTGTCCAGAGTTTATACAGTCTATGGATTCAACTTTCGTGTTTATTTGCCGTTAAAGTCAATTAGTCAATTTTTTGTTGAAAATTTCAGGGTTTTATTCGAACAAGACTTCCTTTGGTTGATTACAGCCCTTGTTAGTATACCTGATTATAACATTAGGCTGAGCTCAGTTCATCACGACCAAGTGAATCTTTTTTTTAATCACTTTTTTCCACAGTATTTCAGTGTCTGCACACGTCTTTAATTCTCCTTTTTAAGATTTTAACAGATCAGGTGATCGATTGGTTTCAGCCTCCTGTGGCGGCGGCAGCTGTTCTCCCCGCCGGCTGGGACAGCGGCGCAGACGTCTGGATTAAGGATGTGAAACAGCCGGCTCCAGTTACTAATAAGGCGCTTTAATCAGATGATCCTAAAACTATGAGGAGATTTCACATGGCGGACATCAGTAACTACAACAAGCTGATGACATAACAGAGACGCAGAGGAAAAACGCTGTCTGAGGATCTCACTTCAAAAAACTGGATTTTCCTTTTTTTAAATAACTAACTGGTTCATAACGATCACATGCTATTTATTTATCACCTGATGAAACACGGTCGATATTAATAATTTTTAAATCATTTTTTGTGCCCACAGCCATCAGACTTTACAACTCTTTCATAAACAGAAGACGACTTTTTGAGACATAACAAGTGAGATTAAAGAGGATCAAATAAAGTTACTCTTATTCTTATCAAAAAGCCAAAAATACCAACACCTAAGTCCTCTGTGCAGGAAGTTAACTTCTGTAAAGTTGCGCAGTGTGCAAACTTAAAGCTCCTGTGAGGAGTTTTTTGACATTTATGAGTCGGATTAAAATTGTTTTTTAATGATAAACAAAACCGTTAGCGACAAGATTAACGATTCTCAACACCTGAAACTCCACAAGTGTCAGAGGAAATCTTTATTTTTACATTTTTCCTGTTAAATCTGACACATTTGACGGTCTGAAGTCAACAGGAAGTGATGTAGAGACTCATCGAAGCTGAAACAATTTTGACTGCAGGAACTAGAGTCTAGATTTAGTTCTGGGGTAAAAGATCTCACCCTGGAAAAGAACTTTCCAACGGCCCAGGGACTTTAGGAGTCAGGGTCTGATGATTTCATTTACAGTAAAAGAAAAAAGGTAACCTCCAAAAAATACCCCTATAACTTCATTTGACTTTTATATTCACACTGATGTAAACTTGTCTGGTTAAAAACACACACTGTACCTTTAAACTGCATGAAGCTGCGGTGCTCTCCCCTCAAAGGTTTGGTGTCTGTCTCCATCTAGTGGCCGCAGGATGAACACCACGGTGACAGCTGCAGGGTGAGAACACTGAAGACTATCAGGGTTCATTAACGCACTGATTCTCCGTCATCTGAGGTTTCTTTTATTAATCATCAATCAATAACAATATTATAAATAACAGACATCGTTAGAAATAATCGCAGTGTAGGACACGGAGAGCATGTTTACAAGAAAAGACAAACGAAAACGTCACAAACGAAGATCCCAGGAGAAAACAGGAATCAACATCTCTCTTCATGAACTCTTCTCCTCTTTTTTCTAAACCACCACATTCATACAGTGCAGCTAAACTTTACAGCACAAACTAACTTTGTTCAGGAATGATCAACCCGAGTCCAACTCAATCATGACTCAGCAGGAAAACTACAAAACGACCTCCTGTTCACCTCGCCGTCCGATCCAAAGACCAGCTTCTGTTTCACTGTGCTTTCATGGAGCGAAGGAAGCGGATGATAAAACTCATCCCTCCTTCAAAATAAACAGCAGACCTGGATTCGGGATCCTCCTCGTGGATTTGTGACGATGCAGGATTCAGGCGCCCGAACTCTGATTGTTTTACATCCAACACTGTGAGACGTCCGGGGCGTTAAAACACGCGATGATGAGGCACAAACTGAGCAGCCAGGAGGACAAACGGCTGCAGACGGACATCATAGAAGAAGAATCAAGGCCTAATGCGCCGATGGAACGGTGTATGAAGCTGCTGTGGAGTGTGCTGGTTTATCATATACAGAGATATAACATACTGATGGTCGTTTTATCATGTGAAGCAGCAAAAGCGAGTCCAGCATTTCCTCTGATTCTGTAAAGCACATCGAAACACTGACAGCAGTAGGAATCCAGCGACATGTCAGAAACACGGGGCAGCAACATTAAAATATAGGAATCTTTTTTTTCTTTTCCCCTTGAAGCGACTCGACACTGTCCGCAGATGAAGACAGCGATCATCCCCAGATTAAAAAATAACACTTAAAAAAAGTCCAAACTTCACATATAAAAAGTCGAACGTTGAAAGAAATGCGTCAAAAGTTTATAAAACGACGTATGAAGCTGATTGGTTTAAAACAAAAGAAGGCAGATCGGCCTTTCTCTAACAAAACCTGGTCCAGTCTTTGACCCCCAGTTTGTGATCCTGAATCCTTTTTTATGTGCCTCGTTTTTTTTCAAGTCATCCCAAGTTTCAGTGACGTAATCCCAGGTGGATTTTTTTTCTATTTTCACTCCTTTTTTGTCTCGTCCCGTCCGTCACCAAAGTAAAAAAAGTGCCGCAGATAGAAAAAAGCTCAGAGAAGCAGGAAAAGTACAAAAAAGAAACCAGGTTTTTAATCCGAGTTCGGCTCACGAGGAGAGTTTGGAGTAGCTCGGAGGGGAAAACTTGCGTTTCAGGTATTTGATGATGTAGAGAGGAAGACAGCTGACCAGCGTGATGGAGGATACCTTCCAGAGGAAAGGCCAGGTCGTGATGAAGGACAAGTCTGAGGGAGGAAACAGACGAGAAAACAGCTTCAACACGTGTTTGTAAAAGTCTGTTTGTGTTTCTGAGCGACTGAGAAAGTCATGCAGCGAGCGATGTTACTCAGAAGAAGATATAAAAATGAGATCGGTTAGGAAACTGCACACAAACCAGATGTTTTCAGAGTTTGGATTTGTTCAAATTAAAAGCCAAACATTGCGATGAATGATGCAAACACACACGGCACAAATAATCAAGACCTGCACTGCAAACCCCAAAAACTCAAACAGATGACGACACCAACGTAGACACGAACATTCAGGCTGCACACCTACCAAGAAAAGCTCCAAAGGACACCCTGCCTATGCCTGTGACCAACAAACAGACGCAGAAGAGACGCAGCAAAAACAGTGAATGCAGAGCAAAGGTGGAGAAAAGAAGAGAGAGAGAGAAAGGAGAGAGGAGGTGAAGCAGGGAAAGCACAGAGCTGAAGGCCGAACTGGTGCTGTGAGGCGTTACAGCAAAATAAAGACAGAGCAGGTGCAGAGAAGAGAACCACAGTCTCCTCAGTCCTCAGTCTGGATTCTTCTGTTTGTCTCTTTTACTTCTCTTTTATATCTGCACCTAAACTGTATTTGTATTTGTGTGTAAATAAACTTTACTTACTACTAACAGCGATATTTAGGACATGTACACATGCATCTGCTCAAACGGATATATTTTTGTTTCGATTCAGCCGTCATCCTCATGAAGTCTCATGAAAACGTCATTAAAAACGGCGCTTTTGGAAAACTCTGGCCAAAGTGAAGATTTTGGAAAACTCCGGTTTTGCGTTTGCATGTGGACAGAGATAACCAGAGTTTCAAATTCCCAAACGTCAGCGTCCACGACAGTGTGTAGGTGAACGTCATTAACTATGCACCCTTGTTCATGTCAGACTGAGGACGGCACAGCTAAATACAGAATATATACATTTGTTTGAAGAGCAAAGGAGAAGGAGTGCTTTACAGTCGATTCTTCTACACTGAATAACTCCTCCTCCACCTTTCTTGTGTTTTTGCTTTTCCACCTTGTAGGAGCCAAAATATATTTGTTCAGGATATGATTTCTAAAAGGTACGTCACTATCGTGGATCGTCACTGAGGGGGTGTGGTTTTGGGATGTTTGTCGGGTTATTTAAATCTCACTGCTGTAGTCAGACGATGGGTTAAAAAGCTCTGATCAGTTTCTCTTGACCGTTTTTTACCGTTTCACTCGTCCTGTTTTAACCTCATTTCTTTGTATCACTTAAAAGTTTTGGACCCGGATCGTTGATTTTTCTTTTCTTTTTGGAACAATAAATTACTTTTTGAAACTTTAACCGGACTTTGAAGTGAACCTAAACCCCAGCGGCCTTTTTTGTTAAAGGAAAACAGTCGCTACACACCTCTTTGTCGGTCTACACGAACGAACTACACAGCGCTGTGTTTCATGTTTGGAGACGTGACGACGAGAAAGAGAAGCTCGCCCTGATTGGATAAAAGGGGTCTAATAATGCTTATAACCGCGGTCAACGGTACTGTTATGTGGTTTTGTGTGGATGATATTTTATTTATAAACAATGACGAGTGTGTGTGACTTTTTTTTTATTAAAAAATGAAAATATGGATATTAATTTATAAAAAATACCCGGGTACGTGTGTACATGTCCTCAGAGCTTCAATAAACCGTAAAGTCAAAGTCAAGCTGTTAAAGTTTTCAGGAGGTGAAGGTTTTGAGAGGAGACGCTAGTAAAGCAGGTAGATGAGGAGATCAGGAAGAGTGGAGAAGTTCCTCAGAGGAGCTTTAAATTTCCTTATTCTGACTTCTGACCGTTAAATGTTTCATTTATTTTCATTATATTGTGTGAAAATGTAAAAAATGTCAGTTTCTTTAGTCTCAGGGCTCACACACGAGCTCTCACACTGATTTCAGACGTTCAAAACATGGAAATTCACATTTTAGTTTGTTTTTTTATAAAGCTGGTTTCATAAACATTGAAAAACTACCTATAGAAGCTTTAATCAAAACATCCTGGGTCTCTGTTTCGCTGGTTCGACTCTTAATCATGACCCTTTGCTACACTATATACTCTGAGGAAAACAATGTGAGTAACAGGAAGTAGAAACCTACCGAAGTATTCGTTGAGGAAGGCGAGCGAGGCCAGATAACATCCCAGGCTGAAGAACTCGGCGACCACCATGAGCCAGTGCCACGTCCGGATGGTCAGCGCCACCATCAGCAGCTCGGTGATGATGAGCGCCGTGAAGGAGATGGCGACCACGTGCACGAACTCCGACTCGAACAGCACCAGAGCGCCGTACATGAGGATGCCGCCTGGTGGCGCAAGAGGGAACAAACCGATCAAGTGAGATAATCAGATTTTTATATTTTGTTTATTTGTCAAAGATGGAGTCGGCTTTTCGAAGTCCAGACGCTCACTCATCTTTGGGCGCCGTCTGAATCTTGATAACCTTCCACTTCATCATTACGCCGCACTAATTGAGCTTAATCACCTCGAACTAACTGATGACATGATTGCTTTTTCATGCAGACTTCATACAGAACATTCCAGAGAGGCAAACTCTGTAATAAATTAAGCTTGATCGCTGCCTAATATATGTCCTCATGTTTCTCTTCTCCCCCACTCGGACTCGGTTTTGGCCTTTAATTAAAAACCCCGAGCTGTCAGGAAGCTACGCTCCAGCAGGAACATAGATCTTTCTCACACGCTGCATGGCTTAGCGATTACAGAAATATCGATTTACTGGACGGACAAAAGCCCGCATGTACGAGCGGATGGCGGCAGGAAACTTAAGATACTGAGAAAGAGACTGTCTGAGAGTTGGAAGGGGGCCCTGGGACCCTGGTCTTAGACTCAGAGGGGATGATGAAATGGTGGTTGAAGACTTGCTTTGACAGCCTATGATACCGCGATGCCAGCCGCGTCTCGGGTTACAGATACAGTCGTGTCGTAGACGCACAGATCAGGTATTAATCCGCGCAGCTTACCTTGATACACGCTGATCAAAACCCAAATGAGGAAGGTCTTGAAGGACAGCGAGCGACCCTGAAGGAGAAAAACATCATCCATGAGCGCGACGTACGACACAATCATATCTTTAAAACCCGAGTGTGGACTCAACTGCACCTTTGTGAGGTCTTTGTACAGCTCAGGGTACAGGAGAGCCATCTCAGGCTTCACATCCTGATCCAGGACCAAAGAGAAGACCGGGAACATGGTGTAGATGGTGGCGTAGCTGCACACAACAGAGGGAGGAGATACTTTAAAACTCATTCGATCTGATAGATCCGCTGATTTAAAGAAAAAGGCACATACCCGACCATGAGGAAACCCTGGTACAACGGCACAGAGGCGAAGTAGAAGACCGAGGAGAAGACGGCCTGAGGAGAGAACATCAACTTTAACGTCCGCAGAGTAAATTCAAGACTTTAAAAACAAACAAACACAAACTTTACGAGACACAGCTGATCTTAACTCATTCAGTGCCGTAGACAGATTTTGACGGATTTGAACCCTGTTACAATAACAAAAACAAGTACTAGTCAGTGAGAAGTTTGTCAGTTAGCTGAGTTGTGGAGAGTTTTTATAAGGAGAGAAGGAAAATGCTGAAATCGTTGCCCAAGAGCTAACGGTCTCGGCGCATCAGCTCCCGTGGGCGTGGTGTTAGCTTCTCTGGATCCAGTGGAGATCCCGGTACCGGACGCAATATTTTTTTTTTTTTGGTAGGCTGGTTGGGGAAAGTCCCGCCTCCTTCGCCTCTGATTGGCTAGAAAAGCTGGAAACGTCATTACACGCTTAAGCCAAACGCGGGCTGTCGGCTCAGTACATCGAACAGAACGTTACAGAACATTATCGCACTTCTGAATCTCATAACCCTAACCCGACAGAAGAGCTCAGCACTTATAGCCAATCAAAGGCAAGGAGGACGGGACCTTCCCTTACCATCCCACAAAAAAAAAAAAATCAGCGTACCGGACCCTCATATCATCAGCAGACAATCAAAGAAACAATTTTCCAGCGTGTCGTTGTCCTAACGAGGAAGACGCAAGCAAGAGTGGTTTACGTCGTGGAGAGCCCGTATGACTCCCAGCCGTCACAAAGTGACCTATGACAACCGGATCTCCAGACTGATGAGGAGTCGAGTCTGAGGAGGGGGGAACGTGATGCCACCGGTGAAGTAGTTTGAGGTAAAATGAAATAAACGAGTTCAGAGTTCTGTTTCTAAGTCTCTCCTTCGTAAAAATGTGTTTTTCCAGATCGGCAAAGATGACATGACCACGCTGCGTTGAGCAGACAATAACCAAACACAGGAGTGGGTTCGAGACTCACTTTCTTGTCTGGTGAAAGAAGAGAATCACTTCTTTCACTTAATTCTAGTCCAAACACAAGATATTCTGTAGGTCCTGAAAGATGAGGACATTTCTATCGAGGTCAACGGTGGCACTGGGTGAAAATTGCATAAATGAACCTGGCACTGAACGAGTTAAAAAGACAGATTACATGAACAGATGTTTCTGTCACTTCAGTACCTGCATGGTGGAGATGATCATGCCTCTATGCATGACAAACTGACCCAGGGCTGCAGAGCGCTTGTAGCTGTTCCTGCCGTGGACCATGAGCAGGCGGCCGATGTGCTTAAACTGAGTGATGGAGAAGTCTGCGGCCAGAGACGCCTGCTTCCCCTCCTGTTTATTTATCAGGGAGAGACGTCAGCGCTCAAACACGACTTTAACACTTTAACACAGGGGATTATATGAGGAGGGGACGGTTTCTACCTTTCCTTCGATCCCGATGCCGCAGTCTGCAGCCTGGATCATGCTGACGTCGTTTCCTCCGTCACCTGGAACAAAAACATTAAAAAAAAGAGCTGACTTGTTGCTCCTCTAAGTGAACAAAGACTGCCATCTTGTGGACACACTGAGTAATAACATGTGAGTGCTGTCACAAACACGGGGGAGATTTAGAGGATGTTTACACCCACCGATGGCGCAGGTTCTGTTGGCCGTGTGCTGCTGCAGGAGCGTGACGATCTGGGCCTTCTGAGTCGGGGAGCAGCGGCAGCAGACCACCGCCGGACACTGACACGCCAGCTCCACGAACTCGTGCTCGTAATACCGCAGACACACCTGCAGGACAAACAGAGGCGGAGTCAAAACGACCTTCTACATATTCATCTGTCGGACTTGTTGACCACACATCTGTTCGTCCGGCTCTGCTGTGAGAAATGAACAATCTGCTTCCTGATTTGTTTCCTCTCTGAATCCCCGAGGCCTTCGCTGAACTCCACAAGTATTATCTTTGGATGAAAAGCATATATGGCTACATCCTCGCCATCATCACTTTGTGTCGTGTTATGAATGTGTTGTGTTGTGTTTTAGTACCTCTAAGGAGTCTCCGGAGATGACCAGAGCGCAGTCATGTTTCCTTCTGAAGGCGTTCAGCTCCAGATGGGCCTCTCCTCTGTTCGAGACCTGCTCCGGAGCCACAAAACACAGTCAGCGGGGAGGATATCAAGGTTTCCTCTCTATGAGTGAGGGGCTTTATGATTTTACATCAGGGAGAGGGTTTTAAGAGGCGTACGGGTTTGAAGACGTGGATGTCTTGGTTCCTGGAGACCAAATGGGAGCTCTTGGCGATGCATGTGGCCGTCTCCAGCTTGTCTCCTGTCAGCATCCAGATCTGAGCAGAAAGAAACACGAACGAAGATGTTTTCGTTAAACTGAGATGTGAGGGTTTTTCTCTTTACCAGGTGAATCGAACAGCGAGTCTCACCTTGATCCCTGCGTTTCTGAGCAGCTCCAGCGTGGGCCTGACGTCCGCCTGCAGCTGATCCTCCACGCCGGTCAGACACAGGAGCTCCATCTCTCTCTCCAGGCTCTCCACCACCGCCGCCACCTTCAGCGCTCGGTCGTGGATGCTCAGTTTGGCCTGGTTGTAGCGGCTCTGCACAAAAACAAAAAATTCAGATGTCTGGTCCGGATGATTTTCTGGTTGGGATTTTACTTTTGGGTTTTTACATCATTTTAATCTTGATTTACTCTCATATATATTTCTGCCTGTTTGCCAAAGCACTTTGTAAACTTGTGTTTTTAAAGGTACCACATAAAAAAATCATCATTATTATTGTTGTTAGTATAAAAGTTATTTTGACTACTTCATTTTTTTTGATTTTAGTTTAGAAGAAAAGACATTTGATAGAGCAGGAAAAGCTGGAATTGAACCTGGACCGACCACTTGAGCCATAACGTCTGTTCAGGACCGACTCACTATTGTTGTCGTCAATACTGACTCAGTTTTATATTCATATATGTAAAGTAGGAATGGGCATGATTAATCAATGATCTATTAATTGATCGTCAAGAATTATGTTGATCACACAAAATTTCGATCGATCGTTATTAAAAAGGACCGACATTGACTGACAGTGCGCGTCCATCCTCAACCTCTGCTGATGGGGAAGGTTACCCTCTTTGTCCGGTCACTGATTGTGTGTTGAAGTAATCAGTGACAATAACTGTGAGGAGGGATTTCGAAATTTTACAAGGAGAGTGATACAGCGGCGTCAGCGGGCTTCCATAGACGTGTGGTTTGGGACCATTTCGAACAGAAAAGATGAGGTTTGCTGCAATCACGGCGATGTCGTTCACAAATAAAACACGACAACGACCCCAATGATGGACCACTTCAACCACACTGAGAATTTCCCAGTTTGGGATCAATAAAGTCTATCTATGTATCTATCTATCTATCTATCTATGTATCTATGTATCTATCCATCTATCTATGTTTCTATCCATCTATCTATGTTTCTATCTATCTATCTATCTATCTATCTATCTATCTATCTATCTATCTATCTATCTATCTATCTATCTATCTATCTATCTATCTATCTATCTATCTATCTATCTATCTATCTATCTATCTATCTATCTATCTATGTATCTATCTATCTATCTTTCTATCTATCTATGTTTCCTATCTATCTATCTATCTATCTATCTATCTATCTATCTATCTATCTATCAGATCCCTGATTTCGGGGGACAGTCCCTGTTTTGGATGACCTGTCCCGGACTAAAGTTCTTCTTGAAAATGTCCTCGATTTTTAGTGTTTCATGTTACCAAGGTAGTCGGGCAGGAAGGAAGCGAGTGAGCGTGTAGCGCGCAGTCCTAAACAACGAGGGGAAATTTCAATGAGGAAAAACACATTTTTTGCGTATTTTCAATTAAATCGATGATTGATTGTTAATTTATATGATTGACCGATAAAGGGACTTTCTTAAAATGTCCATTCCTGATATAAAGTGTGATATACTTTTTTTTAAAACACCCAGAAAAGACTGAATCAAACCTTCAGCAGCGACCACTTCAGGTTTAAAAGTTGGCCTGATTCTGGACAAAAACGCCCCCTTCCTCACCCCTCTAAAAGAGACGGTGGCCTCCAAGGACAAAAAAAAAACTGCTTTCCTGAGTAAAGGGCTGTAGGAGGACATGTGAACACAGATCATACCTCAAAGTCCTGATACTGCTCCTCAGACAGAGACTTCTTGGCGACCACGAGCGTCCTGAGTCCCTCTCTGGCCATGTTTCCACACTGACAGACGGACAGAAAGGACAGACGTCAGGTTGTTTTTATCTTTTTTAGTGAATTTTCTAGTTCTTGTTTATTTCACAGCTGAGGTTTCAAACATCCTGCTCACAGATAAATATCGTTTTAATCCCAGGGCGGCTCATCATCGGCTCTGTTTGAGCAGCTGCAGTATAAGAACACCATGTTCAGTGCCGTCAATAGCAGCATATTGTTACCAACACCAAAGAAATCAATGGTGAATAACATGGCCGGGGGAGGAATACAGAGGACACAGTAAAACAAAGGGATGGATGGCGGTTTATTTTTGATATGAAACACCAATGGGGCGAATCTGCTCTGTTGATTGGTTATTGACGAGCAGAGTAACCGTGGCTGCGGCTGATTTGACAGCGGGATATTACAGCCAACAGGACATCATTAGCACCATTGTTCAAGAATATGACATACTGTAATTACCACAACTTTATGTAGGTCACTAATTAAATCAAACGCCGCCCCCAGTGCTAAATGACTCAATAATGCCAATATAATTATGAACATACGCACACAAGACCTTCAGCCACCAAACGGCTGCAGACACGGGCCGCTGATCTCCACATGAATGTCCTGATTACAAGAGAAGACTGGATGGAGAATAATCGATGCGTGTGCTTTAACGGGGTTTTTACGTGTCCGTTTAATAACAGCGTTAAGGTTTCTCCATCAGCTATAGGGGGAGACGCTTTACTGACACTTAAAGATAGGACGCAGCGGCGAGGATCAATCAGAGAAGACCGGAATAACGGGAAAATACGGCCTCATGAGAAACAGCTTCAACTTTCACCTCTTCTTCCAGCCAGTCGTTATACTGCACGATGCTCGCCATGGCGACGTCAGCGCCCTTCATGTAGAAAGTGATGTCCCCCGTTGACTCCTCCTGAGTTTAGACAAAAAAAAATACATCTTTATAGATAATTAATGTTCAAAAGAGACAAAACCGAGACTTCATTTAGACTTCATCCACACCCTGACGATGATGCCCATCCTCTTGCTCTCGGAGGTGAAGGGGAAGATCTGCAGGATGTGGAAGGAGAGGATCTGTCCAGAGGGAGTCTTCAGCTGCAGGGAGGTCAGGTCTCTGTTAACCAGGGTGAGGCCGACGCTCTCCGTCCAACGCACCAGCTCCACCTGAGGAGGAGGAGGAGGAGGAGGACACAAAAACCTCCAATTATACCAAAGAAAAAAAGCTTTTACTGTTCAAAGGGGAATTTAGAAAACATATGGACTCAAAGCTGCTTCAATCCGACTTCACTTTCACTCGTGCATCTCCAGAGCTGCAGAGATCTCCTCATTCAGCTCCTCATGAGTGTTTTTCTGTTTCTCTTTCCTCTTTTCTCCTCAGCAGGAACTGCGGCCCCCCGAGCGAGCGTTCAGCTGCACACGACTCCATCCTCAATGGGTTCATTTTCAATTTGCTCACTCAAAGCTTGTTATTATACTCTGACCTACCAATTGGGACTTCCTGTTAATACCCCGTCATTTCTCCTGCTCCCCCTCTTTGAGCTCCGTGAAAAAGGCCGGCCTATATTTACTTGACACACATCTGTGAGTCGTTATCCTGGTGTGTGAGCCGAGGACCTTAGATCTGTTTTATCGGCTCTGTGCAAAATATTTACGGTTTAGTCGACTTTGATACAGACTTTAAGAGAATAAACAAAACCACTTCATGATTGGAGTCGATTAGACGACCCCTTTAAAAGGTCTTTAGCCGGTTCACAGTGTTGTCCTACCCTGTTCGGATTCCTGATTTATTATTTAATTATAGAAACGAACAATTTCATTTTAGTTTTTGATTTAAAGATGATTTTATTGATTTAGAAATTATTTATTTATGCTGCTAAAAAACAGTCAGTTGTGCTTTTATGCCGTTTAAATTCTTGTCAAATCAACGTTAAACTAAATGCAGAAGTTAAAAATCATATTAAACTTCTGGTTTTACCACACCTTCAGGAGATCGTCTCTTTCTCCTCCTTGACTTTTCTTTCTTGTGTGACCACCGAAGCCAAAGCTGTTTGAGTTTGTTTTCTTCAGTTTGGTAGATGTCTCTTCCTTCCACTCTATTTTCCTCATCGTCATTGACTTCTCTCTGCAGATTAATTTTGATTTTGATTTATCTCTTATGTCTCTCTTGCTAGTGGTGGCTGATTAACCGTATTTTAATTATGATTTTGATTTTGGCTTCTTACAATCATAAAAACGTTAAAATCGAAGAAAGACGATTAATGCGCCGCATGGTACGGCATGTATGTAAATTCATGCACCCTTTACATGCAGCTGCAGCAAGCGTGTGATGTGTGTGGATCAATAATATGAGGAGCGAGTGATTAAAAACATGGCAGAAAAAACGCTTTTGGTTGAGAAGTAAGGAAGGACAACTTCAGAAACATTTTAGCTTCAAGTTGACGGACGTCCAGCAAAAGGACATTGTTTGCACGGTTTGTCACGCTGTCTTGTCTGCTCCCCAAGACGACACGGCAACTTCAGGGTTTCCCCTATGTGCAATAAATCATGGCACAACACCACCACACCGTGAAAATGAGTTTTTAAATTTTATTTAAGAGGCTCTTACTCAGACTCATATGTATAGGATATACGCACAGACATGGGCGCTGCACCACACAGCACAAGTGCGCCCGGTGTTATCATTAGCGAGTTATTGTCAGCGATCACACAGCCGATATTCTTTTAAGTTACATCTTAAGTTAAATGTTTGGGTGGTTCAATAAAAACTCAAGTTTTGAATGAATAATCGTCTTTATTAACTGTAATTTCAATATCAGTGAAAATAATCGTGATTATTATTTTTGACGTACCTACCTCTGTCTACACAGGATCAATAACAGCCGTTACATGGATTTGATGTAAAGCAGGACCGTCTACCTTCACGACTGTTCAAAGTAAATCCCTGTTTGGTTGATCAGATGTTTATCGCCCTCTGTTCTGTGTCTGCAGAGGAAACTCTTCACTCCTCCTCCTCCTCCTCCTCCTCCTCCTCCTCCTCCTCCTCACTCTCACTCACTGATTCTGTCTGTTACATCCAATTGAAAATGATGAAGCACCCACTTTCCCGGACATGTCAGTCATTGAGGACTACAGTCAAATGCTCTTGTCTGATATTATGAGGGTCGAAGGTCAAAGCAGGACTCTGTTTGCAGAACCTCGATGACTAGCAGGTCAGATGACCTCTGTCCTGCCCTCAGCGGCGGCCGACCTACTTCATCTCCTTAATGACGGCTCATTACATTAGAGAGGCTGAGCGGAGAGCCGGGGCCGAACAAACTGTTACTGACAGATGTACAGTGGCCAAGATCTGAGCGAGCGAGAGAGAGAGAGAGAGAGAGAGAGAAAGAACAAAGGATATCGCAGAGAGGAAAGGGAGCGCTCGACCAACAATCACAGACCTCCACCTCTCAGCGCCTCTGAGAGAAAATTAAATATTGATCAATCCGAGCAGAGTGAGACAATGTAGAGAGGGGAGATAGAGCAAAGTGAGAAGGGTAATAAATAAATATATACATCAACATGAGCGAGAGGACGGAGGACCCGGCGCCATAATGGAAACTCAGATTTATCTCAGCCCGCCCTTTTATCTTCGTTTTGATCGCTAAATTCGGCGGAGAGTTCGACGCAGAGCGAACAAGAAGCTTCACGTCACGGGTGATAAACATGTCAACAGTCGTGAACTTGGTGCATGCTGGGAGATTAACGACCCCTGGATGTACTGAAGGAGGTTCTCTCCATGTGTTTAGAAATGTGAATATTATCAACCGTCTTTATGGATAAATTTAAGAGTAATAGACGAGGTTCAACAGAATAAACTCAGGAGTGATATAAACGATAAAACAGTTTAACCTCTACGACGAGGAGTTCACAACCCTGAACTTTGTGTCCGTGAAATGACGATCATGACGATCATGACGATCATGACGATCATGACGATCATGACGAACCGCCTTTTTTTAGGCTCGCTAATAAAACATGAAGACAGAGAGGAAACCGAAGAGAGGCGCACGCTGGGTTTGGTTCTGATGATCTCCCAGAAGGAAGGGCAGACGGTCATGAAATCATCGCTGGAGTTACTCCAAAATATGAGGCTCTAAAAATGAGGAAAGTGAGCCGAGAGGAGGAGAGAAAGCATTCAGCGGATTTAAAGAGTTGACGGTGGTTTCTGTTTGTATTTCTGAGTAAAATACCTTAAAGCTCCAGTGAGGAACTTTCGGTTTGTGCAGCTGAACGTTTCCTGTAAACATTTAAGAAACTCCAAAATAAAGGTCAAATTTGTTCTTTTTCTTCTTTTTCTTCCCTCTTGTTTACTTTAAAAAAGAGAGTATTTGTTTCTACCTCGTCAGGACTGGAGGCCTGATAGGTGCGGTTGTCGTCACTGAAGTCCTGATCGGCCTCGGCGGACTCTGTCTCCCCGTTGACGCCGGCGTGTGACTCGTAGACCGGGGTGACGTTGTGGCACAGGGCGATGGCTTTCACTGCCTCGTGGATGCGGCTGCTGACGCTCTTGCGGACTTTGGGGCCTGAGGTTTGCGTCTTCCTGGATGGAGTGGAGCCGCTCGCTGCGCTGCTGGCGGGCTGGGAGGTGCCCTGAAAGGAACGTAAACACAGAACATGATGTTTTATTAAAAACTCGTAAAGCTGGAAGTCTAAATATTTACGTTTGATCAGGAGAAGCTGCTGCAAAACAAACTCTGACTTGATGATCTTTTGACCCAGAATTCCCACATCGATCTCCTGAGTGTAGTTTCCACCAGACTCTGAATCTGATCGCACACTTGTAACTTCACTTCCAATCCACTCTGACACGCCTCGCCAAGCTAAATGACACGGCGAGTGGAAGTGGTGTATCACCGTCTTTATCTTGTCATAGCTGGTTTGCGGCTCTTTTATGCGCTCAGCTGTTTTGACACCGACCATCAGTTTAACCGGGCGGTGACAAGCGAGCAGGCGGACAGCCCGTGGCGCCAGCTGTGTTTAACACGGGTGATTTGCTCTGCTGAAGCTTTTGATTTTTAGCTTCTTATTAACCTTCAATCAAGCCGGGAAGGAAAGAGGGAGCGAGGAAGGGAGATGACAATCTTCATCTTGAGGGGCGTGAGGATCGATAAACACCGAATTAAAGTGAAAGTTATGAGGAGAGGACGCGGCTGAGATGTGACATGAAAACAAGAGACCAGCAAGGATGTGGGAATTGAAATAATTATTAAAGAAGGAGATGATCTGGAAACAAAAGAGGAAAAACAGTGCTCCAAAATATATCAGGATTTAATCTATCAAAACTCGTCAATATAAAAAAGACACAAAGTTCACAGCGTCTTCGAGAAAAAGAAACAGCGACACAGTGAAGATCAGCTGCTCGTCTCTGAACAGACGAGTCATTTCCCATTAGCTGAGATTACACATCAGGGCGTGTGGGGCAGATGGTTCCAGAGCCGAGCAGCTGTTTAGAGCCGGCTGAGTAAGAACAATATCATCCTGTCAGGACCGCAGCCTCGATCTGAGCCACCCGGCGAGGAAAAAAACACTCGCTTACAGTACGAGGAGTCGCTCAGGGACACGGCCTGATCAATAAACAGTACGGGGATATTCATCCTCAGTTAAATATGAAAAGAGAGGCGGGATTAAACATGGAGAGAATTCAGGAGGTGGATTCAGAAAATAATAATTTTCATCCTGAATCAGAAAGTTTTGTCCAAAAGAAAAAGACTCAGACTTCGGTTTCATGTTGTGAGCTGCCGCCCTCTTGGAGAGTGATCCGTCTTACCTGTGCATATGACTGGATTATGTGGCTCTGGATCTCATCCATCGTGTCTGTGCCGTAAGAGACCGTTCCCAGGTGAAGTCGCTTGAAGACCATTTCATTCTGTGTCAGAGTGCCTGAGGACCAGAAGACCAACATCAGCAATAAAAACAAATTAAACCTGAAAATACTTTGGGGTCTTTGTTGAGAGACAGGACAGTGGATAGAGAAGAGGACAAGTAAGGAGGACTGAGGGTCAGAATCAGTCCTGGGCCACTTCTGATGTATCAAACATCTTCGAATACAAACGCCGACTTCTCGAAAGTGTCAGTGCACCTTCAGAGGAGGAGAGTCGACCTGCGGCGTTGAGGCCGAATCTCATCACAAGTCTGGACAAAACACGACATCACCAAAAACAGACTCTGGGAGACGCTGCGACACCGAAGAACATCAAATCACCAAAACAGAACAACTAAAAGAAGACCTGTGTTTGAACGACGTCTGCTGCCAGAGAGTTCATCATCTGACACGCTGAGTAACGTTAGCAAAGAGCCCTCACAGCTTGGTTTAGTCGTCTCAGATCAGAGTAGATTTTAATTTGTTATTAAACTGCATATAAAATAAATGATGGTCATTTGCATTTTGCATGATTAGCAGCTGATTCTGACGTCGGTGGATGTAGTGATGATAAACTCTTTTACATTTACAAGCTGTGATGATTTTCAGTGTTTTATTGGATTTATTTACAGCCTGATTTCTTCACGTCTCGGTCCGTTATGTTAGCAGGACATCAGGTCTAATTTCAAGAAGCTGCTGAGATTTAAAGTGTCGTTGAGATCTGTTATCAAATCAGGATTTTGTTTCCATTCAGGTCCCAAAAACAGGTCAGGAAATCCGCGTTAGGACACCTACCAGTCTTGTCTGTGAGTAAGTAGACCAGCCGGCCCAGTTCTTCCGGGATGGTGCTGGTTCTCACGACGGTGCCGGGGATGTTTTCGTCTTTCATGATCATCCAGCCGTACGCCGATTTTCCCATGTCCAGGTTAACGCGCAGACTGCACAGAGGAAAAACAAAGCTGTGATCTCACACAGAAGACAGAAAACGTTCTGGATTGAAGCGACATGTAGAAAATGAGAAATGATCAGGTATCACACAGCAGCTTCATGAAGACTGAGGAGAACCACGAGGTACCTGATGGGGATGATGTACGAGAAAAGCACCACGAAGCGGAAAAGGTTGCGGAACCAAGGACCCAAAAACCCCTGCAGCGCTACCATGACGATAGACAGAACCACCTGGGCCAGGAACAGGGCCTTGGTGAGGCGGTTCAGCTCCAGGTCGAGGAGGCCGACCTACAGAGACAAGGGGTCAAAGGTCAAATAAACAGATATGAGCATAATCACCCTGTACAGTAAGGATTAGAGCGCAGATTTATTTTCATCCTCTGATCTCTGAGCTGTGATTAACGTCAGAGGGGTCACAATCGAAAACCCGGACCTGGACTGTATGAACATGGATGTAGTCTGATCAGATTTCCACCACGTCTGGAACGGCTACGAAAAGGCCGTATCCGCCGATCACAGCTCATCGTAACCATTCAAGTTAACGTGTCAATTTCCACCGGCCTCTTTCCGTTCCTCTGCGGATCACCGGACTCCGCAGCTGATCGCAAGAGTTCTATTTTTTCCAGACGCCAGAGCATGCCGGATAAATTCAGCACCCGTGAAAACCCCATGACGAACAAGTGAAAGGTTTTTAGACGTCATTTCACCCCGATGACACCATGGATGAGGAGATGCTGATTCTAGAAGTCTAGAAGTAGATTCCCTCCTCTGGAAGGACACAATCTACTGCTTATATGTCTATGTGTCTGTCTTTCTAGAGACAACTCGTTATCGCGCGATTGCACGTGAATTCGCGGTTTCTTGTGAGTTCTTGCGATTCCTGCTGTCCATAATCTGCCACTAAATTCGCCTCACAAAAAGATCCAGTAGAAATTGGCAGACGGCGAAAATCGCAGCTGTTCCGGATGCAGTGTAAATTCGTGGTGAGGGATGTGACCCTCCAGTTTCTGAAGCTCCAAGTGTAAATATTTCAAAAGTCAGATAAACTTCATTTCAGCTCATGTTAAATGTTTTGAAGGAGATTTTAAAATGGTTTTTAAATGTCTGTTTGGATCTTAATAAGGCTCTGAAGTTTTCCAGCAGGATTAAACGTGATCTCAAATCTACCTCTGACTTAACCAAAGTCAGCAGGAGTCAGCCGTTCCAGTCTGGTCGACTCACTAACACCATAATAAAGTCACATTAATCATGGACTTCTCTCAATTTTGCTTCTATAACTTGATGATTTTTCTTCTGCAGGAATCACCGAAACTATAAACTCGGAGTATTAAACCCAGAAAAGAGATTTAAGTGAACATTTTCTTTTCTCTTAGAGGGGATTCCCGGTAATTTCATCTCCTCCTGAAGCCTGACATTATCCTTTACAGGGAGGGGAAAACAAAACCACTGAAAGACGTTCTTGGCTGCAGGCTTTTATCATGCAAACCGTGTTTTTCTGCATAAATGCGTTTATCAAACTTCATTATTTGATGCTTAAGTATTGCCCTCGAATGCACGAGGCGGTCAAAGGCCTCAATAATAAATAAAGTTCCTATATTGAGATTTGAAAAAGACAGAAAGGGGGTCAGAGTTGTCCTTTATTTTTCGAGTGTATCTCCCAGCCAATGGAGCATGTGGGAAAAAGATGTCAAATAAAGAAGCGCCCTTCCCCTCTCTGGCAGCGCTCACAGCGAAGCCCGGTACACAGAGGGCTTTTTTCTTCTGACGCACCACGCTTACAAAAACAGCAGAACATAACATCTCTCCTCCCTCAAATAAAGGAGCTGCTCTGAAAAGGAGGGGAGGGGGGCACGGACGTATAAAAAACAGCAAAATTCCTCCAGAGCCCAAACCCCCACCAGGCCCATTCCCCTGAGGACTGAGGAGAGCAGGGAGAGCAGTGTGACTGATTTATCAGCGGCTGTTAAACTCCCAGTCACAGAGAGCCGAGAGGGGAAGAGGAAAGGGAGCAAGTGAGTGGGTGGGTGGGTGGGTATCTCCCCACCCCGCCGCCTCACTACATGGTTCATGGTTGAGCTATTGAGAAAAATAGGGGGTTTGGGTGGATTAAAATGAAGAAAAATTAAGACAGAGAGCACAGTGCATGCCTGAAAAGCAAAAAGATCCCCTTCTGCTCGAACAATGGCTGCTCCAAATTTTTTCAGCCTTGCCGGGGATCAGATGAAGTCATTATTCATTCAGTCAGAGGAAGGGGGGGAGCGAGGGGCTCAATTACCTCAACCTAAAGATGCTATCAATGAATAAAAAAGTGCATATTTTACTCCATTCATCTCCTGGCCATTAAAAGTGAAAAAAAGGAATGATTCGATCTGCCTGTGTGGCTTGTTTTTTTTTTTTTTAGCATGTGTGTGAAACGTGATGAAGGATCAGAGCCGGGGAACATGAATATTCATGGAGTTAAAACTAAAGAGTATCAGGAGCTCAGTCACTCAGTAAGACCCGAACTGTTCTCAGAGTAACTTTGCTCCTAAAGCCGATAGTTTGAGTCGTTTTTGGAGATGCTCTAAAACTAAAATCAGGTTTTTAGAAACTTAAATAGTTGAACTTTTTGTTTTTTTAGCAAGCAACTCAGAATCAACAGTAGAGTTGGGCGATTCATTTACGACAATAAGCAACGTCCTTTTGCCCATATCTGTATATTCGGTGTCAAAAAACATAAATGAATAAAAGTTGGTTTTGGATGTTTGTTGGTAGACGTGACTCCGCCCCATCCAGTCCGTAACAAAGAGGGAAAGACAGGTGAGGAGATGGAGGACGGGTCAAAAGTTAATGTGGGAGGGGTTGAGCAGCTTGTGGAGTAGTTATCGTCCATTTATCGTTATCGAGGTGAACTGATCAGTATATCGTGATATTGATTTGAGGACATATCGCCCAGCCCTAACCAACAGCCTACAAACTTTAACAGAGTCTTCTAATGAACCTTCAGTGTTTTACCCCAAAGAACAGCATCATGAGCTGAAGGTCTCAACTTTGATTTGATGAAACTCAAACAGACAGAATATCGAAGAGTCTGTGAGTGATGCTGTTGTTAGCTTGGATGTCTAAAACACCCCGAACTCTGAATACAGCAGTTTTAACAGAACTAAATTAACTCTTTTTAGCTAACTGTGTTATTCTTTAAGAACTTTATTTTGAAGGTTAATTAAAGGTGTTTTTTTGTGTCGTCTGAGATGAATCAGCTGTCGTTCTTTAGCCAGAAGTAAACACGGAGAATACAACTAAAGAAACTTTCAGTTCCTTTTAATTAGAGCTGAAAACTTACTGGTTCACAAACACCTTCAATTAGATGATTGAATTTTACTTTAACAGTTTTATTTTACTCGTATTATTGTACAAAATGGATAAAAGATGGAAAAGAAGCAGGTGCAGGATTTTCAAACTATAACTTCCTGTTTAAAAGACGCTCCAGCTGATGATTCAGGATTTATAGTACAGAGCTTCTTCTTCTTCCTCACACTGAACATTCAGACTTTGTGAGTGTTTTTCGTTTCGTTGTTTTTATTCAGTTCTGTTAGTTATAATTTCCTACTTCACTTCAAAATCAAAACGTGTTGTAAAATACAGGAAAACACAAGACAGGAAAATATCAAAATAAAGTGTCACAGATGATCGTTTCACAAGACGATCTCTAAAGAAATTGGGTTATAAAACCATTAGAAACACATGACTGGGTTGAGTTTTTTCCAATTAATTCAAACTAATCATGAGCTGAAAATGTTTTATTGTGGAAGTCCTGCTTTATGTTGACCGTCCAGATCTGATCCGAGTGAACGTCTTTGTGTCAGGAGCAGTTTTTTTCTTTTTTCTCAGTCAGACTTTGAGAGACGTGTGAAGAGAGCCGAGTATTGCTGCTTGGATTTGTACCTCCTAGAACAAAGCTCTCCTGTCAGATGACATTGTTCTGTCTCTCTCCTCAGACTCAGGTCCGTCTAACAATACCAAAGAGACAAAGAGTGAATCTATGTCTGACGTCCTGTCAGATTGATCAAGCGCCGGCTTTGTCCTGGCCAGTGTCACAACAGATTATATGAGTCCAAAACGTTCTTGCTACTTCAGCCTCACTGTATCGACTTTCTCCCTCAATCTCCAGTCTCCATATTGGCACTTCTGACATCATCTCCTTGAAATATTGAATTCCTCTCAGCTGTCGAGCTTACACAAAAACAGAGGCCCTCACACAACGGTCGACCGGCCACATCAGCGTTCTTAATAAAAGACACCGGTGTCAAAACTGCGCTGCGGTGGGAGAGGTCTGCAGACAGCTGTGGGTGATAACCAGAGCGCCGCTGTTGTTCAGATCCCACTGATTCCCCGCCTCCATCAGCTGACCTGAGTCTCTCTAACCCGGAAAAATCTTAAATTTAGACTCAAAATTTCATTAATCTCCTCAGTCTGGGGACGAGACGCTCGATGGGGATTCTGCGGGATTAACTTTCAGCTGAAAATGTCATTTAAATCCTCCGTTAGTTAATTTCCCTTTTGGTTAATTAGCAAGTGGCGCTGACCTTTCGCATTGACAGGTCCAACTTTATCTAGAAAGTCAAGGTTAAAAAAGCACCTCGCCAAAGTGATTGATTAGTGATTAGAGGCGGGGGAGGGGAAACGGCGCGAAGGGAACCTGAAGCAGATGTGACTTTCTTTGCTGATTGAGTTTACGCTGAGTTTAGCATCGTCGGTGAAAACTACCCGAATAACTCAAACATTTATTATTGAAGAAAAACAAACTTTCAAACTTCTGTAAATCTGTGCGTACAGATGTGGAAAAACTAGAGAAAACTAACTTTGTTTTTTTACTTTAATCCAGATTACATCTCCAGAGATAATCTGTGGTTGTTTTTGGTTTGTTTGATGAGAGGATGTCGTGTAGATTTGTGCGACTGTGAGAGTTTCTGTTTTATCATTTTCTACCAAGAATAAAAAACTTTCTTGCTTTATTCTTGTTTATTAAATCTGATTAAGTCTTTTCTCTTGGTCTTTTTTCTTAAATAGTATGAGACTCTGTAAAATACGTAAAAGTTTCATCCTGGATTAGATGAAATTTTAAAACACTGATTATTAAAACAAATCATTGACACTTGATCACAGTAAATAAATCAGCAGCTTTAAAATGAAAAGTTGTTGTTTTTTCCTTCAGAAACACAAAAACTCGAAAGTATTCACCTTATTCTTGGCAAAAGACGTGTTCAGGACGCTCCTGGTCTCTTTGCCGGTATAGATCACCACCCCGATCACCGTTCCTGCCAAGAGGAGAGACAAGGAAAGTAATGCTGCTCATTAACTCCTCTCAAACCCCCAACATCCAACACACACACACACACACACACACACACACACACACACACGTATACGTGCACACACTCATCCTGATCAAGTGAGATGAACTGCATGAGTAGAAACACAATAAGGCTGAGCTGAGGCGGTTCGGACTCGGACTCTGAGGGCCTTCAGCACCCTATGGAAGCTCATAAAAGCGGATCAATACGCTGCCATCTTTATTTGCCAATTCATTACGGTGGCCTTATTACAGAGGATTAATGGGTCATTAATATTAAATGAGCTTAATGGGAGAGCAGAGGCAATAATAAAACTAAATACAGCCCTGGAAATCCCCAAACTATAAAAATGGAAGAAGAGTTAAAAGCAAAAACGAGGAAAGTGAGGAGAGAAAAGGAAGTCCAGAGGAGACGGATGTGATGAATCGCTCCGGTCGTCTTCTGGCTTCAGAAATATGGAGAAAAGTGACAAATGGTGAGGGGCTCAGCATGCAGAGAGGCTTCAATTTGAATATGCGAACAACTAATTCACTCATCACAGCTGGACCGGAGCCTTTAAGAGAGCGGACTCACAGAGATCAGGGTCTGTGCAGACTCAGAGGGATGAAGCTGGTGGGGGGACAATGACATTCCCGAGCAGAAGATGATGTAAGGGGTCCAAGTCGGGCTCTTTGTGTGAGTGTGAGTGTGTGTGTCTGTGCCACTGTGTGTGTGTGTGTGAGTGTGTGTTTGTTCTTCTGGTCAAGGTCAGGCCGGAGGGGAGAGCAACACCGCAAATCAATGGCGGAGGCATCGCTGGGAGCGCCGCAAACGCTCTCAACTGACACAACCGCTTCTGTGGGGAATCGGCGAGACGGAGCGAGGGAGGATTACCTCAGCTGTGGGTTTTTCTCAGAGTTCTTCGAACTAAAGCGCACGAGTCGTATCAAATCAAACACCCGAGAGGCTCAAGGCCACGAATCCTCACACAAGACAGAAATATTCAAAACACAGAGAGGAGGAGAGGGATTTCTCTAGGTGGAGTCATTTTTGATGCTCTTGTTCATTTTCCTTCGAACTCTTAAATCACTTTAAATTATGCGCACTGCTCCTTTAGAAAAAAGGGACACTGCTAAATGTGTGCCACTCCTTTTTTACCATCAATTGGCTGTTTTGATGGAGTTCATTTGGACTGACATATCCGACCTGCTCTGAGTTCAGAGGACGACATCCTGTAAAAACAGCTCCTACGAAATCAAATTTATCTTGAAATCTCACCTTCTGATATCAAACCAGATACTTTAAATAATATAAAAGAAAGTCCAAGAAAGAGGGGCGGAAACAGATCACAAGGCCTTAAATAAAAGTCGCAATCCACTCACCAGATGCAACGACGGTGCTGGCCCAGAGAGTGTTTTCAATACTGAGACTCTCATGGATCTGCGGGTCGGCGTCTTCCTACAGGAGACATGAAAAGAAATTATTGTTATTGTCCAAAACGGTTGACAACAAGGACAAACTCGTCACTTAAAGCGCTTCAGCAAAAAACATAAAATCGTAAAAAAGGAAAAAAAAGAAGCAGCAGCTGATTTACTGAAAAATACCCGACAGTGAACGGCGTTTACACTTTCAAATCTAAACTTTTAGTGGAGACCAAAACAGCCTCAACTTAGAGAATTAATTGCAGCAATTAGTCAGCTTTTAATTAGTACTGTTGAGAGTGTCTCTGGAGTAAATAAGAGAAAACAAACCAGAACTTTGGAGAGAGAGAGAGAGAGAGAGAGAGAGAGAGAGAGAGAGAGAGAGAGAGAAGACTTTTAACTGTGAGAAACAAACAAAAAAAAAACATTCCAGAGTTTCAACAATTAAAGACCCACTCCAATGAAAATCATGTTTTTCCTCATTGTCGACATGTTCATTTTTCTGATGCTACAGGACATATCATGAGGAAACTAAGTGCGAAATTGCATTTGTGAACCTCAGGCGTACCCAAATTGCAGACTCAGAAACAGTGAGATTTCTTACATCACAAACCCAAGCTCCGCCCCCGGAGCCCCGCTATGAAGGCCAGACTTTAGAGAAATAGAGAGAACGATCACGGAACAAGTGTGTGCGTTAGCAGATTGCAATGCTCATAAGAAAGCTAATTATAATATTAACTTTCATCATGTCTCTAAAGACATTTGTGCTGAATAGCTGAATAGCTCCTATGTTACCTGCCACTTCTACTACACCGGCAATGTTAGGCTACAAGCTAGCGTGAAGAGGAGCATAAAGAGGAGTGTGCAGAGCAGTGCTGACTCCGCCCACAACTTAGAGGTGAATTGAGCTACTGGAGCTCTGCAGAAGAAAAGCCCTTAAAAGTGACACAGGTAACGTTATTTTGGCTAAAAACTTCATAATCACAATTTAAAGACCACTGAGAACACTTTCAGTAGTAAAAAAATGATCGGAGTGGGACTTTAACAGACATTTTTCTAGCCAGTTATGAAACACACTCCTGTTTCAAACTCCTAATTTAACCTTTGAGCATTTTTCCACCTCTGCCTGTTTAAGGGTGCTACTTTTTACACAGTCATGAAACAATTGAAAGTTTATCGTACTCCATATTAAACATTCACTCCTGCTGTTAGAATGTGTCTTAAAACTTGCGGTTCCCAGCATTAATAGAAAGTTTTAGTTTTAGCTCAGACCTAAACCGACCTTGGTCAGGGAGCGATACAAACAGCTACACTGAGGCTAGGGCTGGGCGATAAAACGGTAATGGTATATATCAAAAATTAACTCAATTTCGATATGAAACATAGTCAATATGCTTTTCAATAGCCGGCATTCTGACATGTTTTGGTAGACTATAAGGATATCCAATGAAAAGGGGAGTTGCTCCAAGTCTGCGCTGCGCTGTGATTGATATCAACTGATCAACTTTTTCCCACATCACCCGGCCCTAACTGTGGCTCAAAATCCTAAAATCCTCCTCTTGTTTTGAGATGTCTGTTTTTGGGAAGAGAAAATAGCTGTGACAGTCGGTCAAAACCAGGAGAAGAGCAACTTTCCTAATCAATAAAGTGTAAACTGGAGGAAAACAAACCCTGAAATCGACTTTTGGGTAAGTAAAATTAAAATCTGGTTATCTAGATATATATTCTAATAAGATCCCCTTTTGTTTTAGATCAAACACCCTTGAAAAAAAAAGGTTTCCACTGAACAAAACTGAGGAACATGAGCTCAGCTGAGTGTATACAGCCTGACCCGATTGGCCGAGCTCTGCTGTGCGATTAATTCTCACAAGCACCTGACACAGTAGTGCAGACTGTAGCAATACAGTAGTCCCTTCATCAATACTTTCTCCAGATTTGGCATGGCGATAGAGGCTCCTTTTTAAAGAACAGTATAGAGAGTGCACATAGATGAGATTTCCAAGATAAATAAGCCCCCGGAGAGCCTCCTGTTTCACCCTGCCCGTTTTACCCCCTCTCTTAAATAAAGAGCAAAGCTGAAAATGGCTCGAGTCAGGAGTGCAGAGTCAAGGCTCCAGTTTCGGCTCAAATTGCCTCTCTGATATGATAATTATGATACCTAAGCAGCCACATCCTGTCAATCCACTCAAACATGGGAAGAGGTGCATGAAAAATAAATGGCAGGTTGCAGAGAGCTTGACCGCACTGACATTGGCATCATAACTGCGGCGAGTCTGAGCGAGGACCGCAAGAAACAAAGCCACCATATCCGTCTTGAGGAAGAAAAAAAAAAAACCCTCATAAATAGGTAAGTTCATTTGCTGCGGATCTGTGGGAACCCATTTTTTTCCCATCCTGCTCGGACTAAAAGCACACGCTATGCAAAGGAAGGCCGCGGAGGATGAATGAGCGGAGGAAGTGCTCCCTCACTAAGCCTGGTGTGTGGCCAAGAGTGAAGACGGGCCACAAAGCCTCCCTTTGTACCGGGGCTCTCCTCTCTGTGGGGGCTGCGCTAATCTGCTATTAATAAAAAAAAAAAAAAAAAAAGAAAGAAAAAAAATCACTGAGCAACAACCAAGACGGGATGGATGGAGCTGGGGCAGCGAGAACCTGCCTGTGATGTAAGAGGTACGCCTGCTGGAGATAACAACGGGCCCGGATGGACACACAAGCTCTCATTGTTGCTGCTTGTCAACACACCGCAGTGATACACATCTTTTATGTCAATCCAGCTGCTATAGAGCAGAATCAGCAGGTGTTTGAGATTTGTTTAACAGCTTATAAATATGTCAACGAGCCACTGTACCCTAGTGAAGTTCCCCTCGAAACTGTGGATGTCCAGCTGAGGCTTCTGGGCGTAGACGTAGGCCCTTATGGAGAAGAGATCCTGAAACAGAACCAACAAACAACTCAGCGTACGTTCGTTTTAGTGAAATTCAAACTACCACAGGATTATATCTCACAACACAGGATTCAAGAGGATCTGTTCATGATTTTTGTGCTTTTTTATTGTCGTCCCAATTTTCTAAATCTATTTTATTTACATGTAAAAATTAGACAGTGAACAAAACCAACCAAACCAAGATTGACCATTCTTATAACTGTATGTTAACACAAAAAACTGCCATCAGCGGACACAGAGGAAGAAACAAGCAGAGAAATAAGGACTGAAGGGAATTCATCAGGGCCTGTGTCCACTAAAGTAAATCCATCAGGGCCTGTTTCCACTCACAGCATTTTGTGTGTGTGTGTGTGTGTGATCAGCATCAACTTCCAGTGTGAAAATCAAAACAGCTCCTGAACTGTTTTTTTTTTTTATATTTCCTTTTTGTTGCAATAAATTGAAAAAAAATTGAAAATAACAGTAAAACATAGTCCTACTTATAAATGTCATTCCTCCCTCTCTGACCAATCAAAATAAAGAAGAGGCGGAAGAGACGTTTTCTCATATTTTCTTTTAAATATCCTCAAATAAATAGATGAAAATATTAGACAAGTGAACCTGACTGACACCACCGAAGAAAGCTAAAGTCACATGAGACAACTTAGCAACACTGCAGCGTTAGTGGAAACAGGCCCTTACACCAAAAAACTGCATACTGTCCCTTTAGTTTTAACTGAATGAAATTGTCGACCTTCTCAAGAGTTTGTTTTGGACTTTCTGGAAATAAGGTCAGCATTTTTCTTCTAGTTCTGACGTAAATGTGGGATGTTAGGTAGGTACAGTTAAGACCACAGCCTTACGCCCGTCAAACAACAAACTCCATCTCTTTTTTTTATCCCGAGAGGAACTGAACTGATTGTAAATATTAAATTATTCAAGTGGGCGGCCTCTGCTCAGATAGTGTTCTCCTGATGAGAACACGGAGCACGATGATTATTTTAACCCCGCCAGAGAGGAGAGTCGCTGCAGTGTTTCACAGAATAACTCTCAGTAGGACGATGCATTCGGAGAAATGAATGTGGAAATTAAACATTAAAGATGCGTCCAAATCTTCTCTTACCCCGACTGCTGGAAGTCGCTGAGTGCAGCCAACAGCGACTTTCAGTTTCCAGTCGGTTTCTCCATCCAGCTGATCCGTCCTGATGAAACATGCACCTGACAAACAAAACAGAAAGTACAGTTACACTTAGAGACGTCTTATTATCACCATGCAGTGAACAGTGAGTGTTTCTGTTAACGCCATAGGGCTGAGCGATATGTCCTCAAATCAATATCACGATATATTGAGCAGTTCACCTCGATAACTACTCCACCAGCTGCTCACCCCCTCCCACATTAACTTCATCTACTTCAGCCGCTACAACTTTTGAACCGTCCTCCATCTCCTCACCTGTCTTTCCCTCTTTGTTACAGACTGGATGGGGCGGAGTTACATCGTCTTAAAGGGACATGAGACCATAGCCTACCTACACACATCCAAAACCAACTTTGATTTATTTGTTTTGTTGACACTGAATATACCGATATGGGCAAAATGACGTCGGTTATTGTCGTATTGTCGGTGTCTGTAAATTTTCGATTTATCGCCCAGCCCTACCATCGACTGTGTAAAACATGAGAGCAGTCTCAGTGGTTTGTGGAGGGACGTCCTAATGATGGCAGGTTACCATTTTTTTACCGACACTTTTAAAGGAATTTTTGGTTTGAATCTATTTTGGCGACCCCCTCAGTCTATTTCATGATGTCAAAAAACTCCTTATAGTAGCTTTAAATCTAAAACTTTACAGCAAAATGGAGGATTTTTTAAAATTTACAGTCAGAGAATAACTCAAATGTTAGCTTTATGTCGCATAAAGACTTGATGATTTAGTGAGATTTTATACAAATAAAAAAAAGTGAGATAAATATTCAGATTAAAAATATGTTAAAAGAGTTTGGAGCAAAGTTTTAATGGGTTCAGTCCAATAAAAGATAAAATAAACCACATCAGCTGATTTGTAAGATACATTAAATAAACATAAACACATGCAGTGTTTGACTCATGCGACTGTAATGAACTGGCACATGTCGGAGCGCTGCACCAGTACAGAGCAGTACACTGCAGACTGATTGAGTCTCTGCGTCCGCTGCACACACGCTGTGAGGTCCGATAAACGCTGAGCAGCGGTGACCTGTATTGATCAGAGGTAATATTACATATGAAACTGATGGATGAGAGCAACTATTTGACAGAGAGGGTAAAGGGCAGCTCTAAACCATCCCCGGAGGGTTAACGATGATGGAGAACATTCACACAAAGAGGATGATTCATGCTTTCCTTCTGCTGCCATGGCACCTCAGCTCCTCACATAACACCACCGAGAAATGTGTGTGTGTGTGTGTGTGTGAAAGACAAAGTAAAGAAAGAAATGTGTGTGTGTGTGTGTGTGTGTGCTTTGAAGGCATAAAGACATCAACAAATCCCTGCCAAGCATATTGGCACATCAGAGATTGATGTAAACGGTGTCCTCTGAGCATTTCCTCCTGATGCCCCTCAGAACTGAGCCAGATCTGCTGCAGCTCATTGATTAATTGGAATTTGCATCATCAGTCAGCGCGAGAATGTGGCATCAATCATATGAATCATGGACCACCTCTATCGGGGGATGTCAGGGGACTGGAAGTGCGGGAAAAACTCACATTTCTCACCCAAATGATCTTGACGGCGTTTGTTCAAATACTCGAGGGCAAACAGAGTTCAACTGATATCGTGTTGTTTGTTTGTTTGTTTGTTTTGTCCGCTCTCATCTCGTGAAATCTCAGCTCACCTGTTTTCTCTGACGTCCTCAGGAATATCATGTCCGCAGGAATCCTCTGGTTCTACGATAAGAGGAGGAAAAATCACATTCATTTCAAAGGTGAGACGTAACTGAGCGCTTTTATTTCACCCTGAATAATTAAACAAGGTCAACATCGTGAGAGAGTGAGCTGAAACCAGACATCACATGTTGAACAGGTGAGTGAGAGTCTGAAGTGTCAAAGGTGAACTCTGATTACTCTCCGAGGAGCAGATTTGATCATCAACTCCTGAATTATTTACCTTCTCAACGATGATCAGATCCCCGACTTGGATGTCTGAACTCTTTACTTGAATTTTACCTGAGAAGAAGAAAAAATAAAGTGGTGAAAATTAAAACTGAGTAACTTCACATTAAAATTCGGATTCTTCACCGACAGCTATGAAATCAAACGCAGTTATTGATCCCCGGCTCTCGAAAAATGACCCTGACTCTTCAGACCACAAGCCACTTTCCTCTCCTCCTCCCTCACCTTCTCACAGATCGATTACCTCCAGTCTGATCATGTAATACCCTTCTGTTTTCACCCCTGCTCTGAGGCTCAGACTAAAACAACGACACTCTCAAATGTATCGCCTCGATATCCGCTACGACCCGCCTTCTTCTTCTCCTTCTGAGCTTATAAATGAACACGTGCAGATGAGCGCAGAGAGAGAGTGATACAGCTGCGGCCTCAGACACGGTGAGAAGATACCACACAGGGGGATTTCATCACACATTCGACAAAGAGACGGAGAAATTGGGAGGGGAAAAATCGATGCAACTACAGCCGGAGAGAACGGCGTCTGTTAGGAGTGAAGATCCCAAAACTGAGCAGGAAGAAGGCGATTATGAGCAAAGACGATTCTTTAATTCTCACTGACCTCGCACTGTCAGCTTGCTGTAGAGTTGGGAGTTCATGTCTTTGTCCCGCTGGTACCGTCGCACTTCGTCTACAGCTTCTCGCACCATCGTGACGGCTAACACGAAACCCTGAGTGACAGAAAACAGATCCAACCGTGAACATCCACAAAAGTTCAATACTTATGTTATTATTCATCGTTTAAGACTTTCACAAACACTCTTGAACTTTAAGATCTCTGAAAATGCTTCTGCAGGGACAATAATATAGGGACTTATTAGTGTGGAGTGGAAAGAGTGTATTTACCAGAGGTGCCCAGTACGTGTACAGGTATCCGATCTTCAGAGATGGCACAAACTGGGAACAGGCCACCACCAGGAAGTAAAGATTGAGGAAGAACTTGAACTGCTGGTAGAGAACCTGAGGGGAGAGAAGAAGAAAAGTAGGTGAGCCATCAGATTAAAGTCGATGCAGTTAACGTCACATTATTCAAACGCACGGCTAACCGGTGTACCAAAGGCGTTCGTGGTTTGATTCTGCAGGAACTTCTTTTTTCCAGTTGTGAGAAAAAACATCCCGATAACTGAATTAATGAACGAAGATAAAAAGCGGCAAACTTTTCCTTAAATTCTCCAAACCGAAGAACCACCTGTGACTTTGCGAGGACTCTCTGCTAATGGACCATCCATCAGCGCCGATCCTTTGGTGCTCTATTCATCTAAGGTCAAATTTTGAATAATGTGTGCAATAATGAGAGCGTGGCGTCTAGTCACAGATAATCAGAGACAAAAGGATCAATGGGCGACGCTCTGCAGTTAATGAACCCTCCTGACCTTTAGGGGGAAAAAGCACACTGCTAAACTCAATTTGTGTGTATTTAATAATTCAAAGTGGAGGGAGGAACAACAGCCGATTCGCAGGAATATCTACGTCTCTAATAGACAGTTGACATTTTATGGGCCGGGCTGAAGGCGGCCCTCTTAATCATGGAACTGTTTGGTTTTTAATAAGTTAGTCTGATGGATCCCCTGCAGTGGAGAGCCTTAATTTGAAGACAGGCCAATTAGATCCACTTCATGCTCCTATGTTTCACACACTGGTTAACCGTGGAGAGATCGACGTCCGTTAAAACTGGAGCAGAGTGGGGACTGTAAAAGTTAATAACAGTGGGAATATGTCTTCAGGATGTCAGCTGACTCACCCCAGGCACAAAGGTGACGATGTTGTACTTCTGGTTTTTGATGGCGTTTTTCGGGTACTTCTCCTCACATTTCTCCGGACAGCCCAGCCAAACCGTCCGGGCCTTCAGCTCCTTCTTCCTCCGGCAAATGTGGGCCAGGCAGTCACAGCAGCTGAGCGGAGAAGAGGAGGGAAAACACACATTATATCGTTCACCTGCAGCCGAGTATTCAACGAACAAATTCAACATCCAGGAAGCGGCAAAATCGATTTTATCTGCTGTTGATTCATTCAGACAGAAATAATTTTAAAAAGATCTAAACACTTTTTCAGACTTCAACAAGACTGATCATCTCATGAGGGTAATTTTCAAACTGCGGTGAGAGTGTTCCACGGGATTGGTGAGAAATACGATCCTCCTGAAACACGGAGTGTTTTATTTTGAAAAGAAACCGGATGTATTATTTTGTGTCTGTGCCCGACTTCCTTTCCAGCACGGGTTAATCGGTGCTGAATTTATCTGAAAAAATAGAACTCTTGGGATCAGCTGTGGAGTCCGGCGATCCGCAGAGGAACAGAAAGAAGTCGGTGGAAATTGACACATTAGCTTGAATGATTACGATCAGCTACAATCGGCGGATACGGCCTTTTCATAAACGTTCCGCATGCAGTGGAAATTGGGGGTTTAACAGACCCTCCTATCTTCTGAACAACAAATATTTACACATTTGATTGTTGACACTTTGTTGTCGTCAAAAATACCAGAAAAAGACCAGTGAAGCGTTTAGACCACAGAGGGTGCCGAAATCAACCCCAATCAAAAGTTCCCTTCAGGAGATTTGAGTTTTAATAAAATATTATAAAAGGAAAATCCCAAGTAAGGCTGGGCGGTAAACCGGAAATTTACTCATACCAAAACTTAGGACAATAACCAACGTCATTTTGTACATGTCAATATATTCAGTGTCAAAAACATTAAGAAATCAAAGTTGGTTTTGGATGTGTGTAGGTAGACTATGGTCTCATGTCCGTTTAAGACGCTGTCCTACATCAGAGACGTGACTCCACCCCATCCAGTCCGTAACAAAGAGGGAAAGACAGGTGAGGAGATGGAGGACGGTTCAAAAGTCGTAGCGGCTCCATTTATCGTTATCGAGGTGAACTGATCAATATATCGTGATATTGATTTGAGGCCATATCGCCCAGCCCTAATCCCAAACGATACTTATTGATTTAGTTTTTTTCCACTGTTTATCTTAAATCTTGGATCTGAACCAGTAACTGTTTTTCAGCTGAACTCAGACTGGAGAGGACGGTGAAAATTCATCAGTATGAAGGGTTTGATTTTGTTGTTTTGAACCTGTTAATACCACGATGGAGGCAGATAAATGTGAACGACACATTGTTTTACGACTTTGTTCAAGAAAAAAACAAACATAATCCCAAATTGAAATCAAACCTACAATAACGCCCTCTCATCAAACATCAGGACTTTATTTCACAACCTTTGATTTCTCAGTTTTTGAATCAATTATTGTCGCTGAGCTGTGCAGCTGCAGCCGACAGAACCGGTGATATTTATATCTCTCGTCTTGTCAGAGTGAATTTCATCTATACGGCGTCTTTGTCACACTTCTATTGAAAGGTATTTTGTTGCAGCGCCGTAAAGATCTCTAAATCCCAACAGGAGGGAATTCCCTCAGAAGTGCTGCGGGCGTCCGACTCTTGCAGAGCCGCACAACTAGATAAGACAGAAAAAAACTAACGCTTTACATGTCAGAATAAGAGACACAATCTAGCACGGACAGATCTACGCTTTATTACACACTGATGTTATTATATTTTAAAAGTTCTGAGAAGAAAAAAAAGAGCGAGAAAGCAGATTATGGTTTACTTTTTAAAAAGTATTTGACTTTCTATCAACCTGCTAATGACTACATTGGTGCTTATCTACCATATCTGATATCTAGTGCAAACAGAGGTGCAGTGTGGGGGGTAAATTACAACGGGAGCATGAGCTGAACTGGCACCTCTAGGGGAACGAGGGGAGAGTGTCAGTGTATACCGTCATGCTGATCGACTTGGCTTTTCCACTTTTTAAGCAAGTTGGCAAAACATGAAACTAAATAAATGAACTTTGGTGAAAAAGTCTTGTTTGTGTTGGCCTCCATGTTCCAGGTCCCTGTGCACTCCCGGTCCAGTTTCATAAGAGCGATTATTTAAGCAAATGAATGCTATTCAAATAATATGCCATTTGAACAGTCAGGGCTTATTCAGTGTGAATTATTTGTGTTTTATAATCCCACACTAAGCACACATAAAATTACTGGAAAGCATCAAACTGGTCAGCTGTGAAAAATCCGATTTGTTCATTAGTGGGGGGGTGGGGTGGGGAGGGGGATCAATATGCAGCAGCTTTAACCGGAGACGCACCACTCGACGCTGGAAACAACGCTGGAAATATTCACCGGCATTCCTGCATCAATTAAAGCGTTTCTTTGAGGGAGGAGCTGGAGTGCAGCACAAACATTTGTTCATAAATGTTCAATTTTATTGTTCACGCATAAACAAACACTCTCTCCTCATCTTTAGAGGACAAAACCTGTCAAATTAATCATTAGCTGGATAAACCCCGACGTGCTGTTTGACCTGAAAATCTTTTTGGGCTGATGGTGCGCATCGAGGAACTCGACCAAAAACATGCCCTTATCCTCTCTTTGCACTTCATGCACAGCTACCGGTGCGTTTGAAATCCAAACTGATCATCACGGGAACATTTACTGACATTATACACATGATACACATTTACAGAATGACAACACACTCACAACTTTCAGAGCGGGTGAAGGTCCAAATGAAACTCAGAACTACAGACGGAGAGGGGCCTGACTTAAAGGGATATTCCGGCGTAAAATTAATTTAGGGTCAAACACAGTTTAACACCGAGTTAGACACCTCCTAACAAGATGAATGTTGCCGACCGCTTGCTTCTCCAGTTATACCAACTTTAGTAACAACCACAGGATAGCAATACACAGCGGTCTGAGGAGCCATAAACTAGGGATGTGCACGGTTATTCGGATATTCGAGTAAATGGGGCTGTCCTTACGATCCGGTTAGTAAATAATATTCATTTATTCTATAAACTAAAAAAAAGAAAAGGGGGGAAAAAAAAGAAAAAAGCGACAAAAAGCTTCTTTTTTTTATTATGTTTTTACCGTCATGTCTTAATAAAAGCGTGCATTAAACAAGCTAAAATGTGTGGATCATTTGCGTGCGACTCTTCCTGCCTGGCTCGCTGCTCTGGGCTCGCAGCGCTGGCCTGCAGCATGCATGTGGGTTAACATTTATGATCTTTTCTTTATCATTTCCTTGAAGTAATAATCACCATATTAATCATTTTGCACTGCAGACGCGGCAGTTCTTCTGCCTTAGCGTCTCAGTCTGATTGTATTTCCATGAAGAAATGATCATAAATGTTCTTCCTTGAGCTGTGGCACCCCGCTGTAGTCCGTAATGGACTGGCCTGAGGTCTCGCTACAAACAAGCGGCTGCTGGAAGAGAGTAGGTGAGTTGTGTTTAGTCTCTTTGCTAAAGAAATGAGTCAAAGTTAAAAAGATGTTTGGTGTCTAGTTCTATGTCTGGGACCCTATATGTCCTGTTGATGAAGTTAGGTGCTGTTCTGAGCATTATTTGTGGCTATAGAGTGGTGTTTTGGTTGAGGTTTGTTTATGGCCCCTCAGACCGCTGTGTATTGCTATCGTGCGGTCGTTACTAAAGTTGGTATAACTGGAGAAGCAAGCGGTCGGCAACATTCCTCTCTGGAGGGGGTGTTACGTGTGTTTGACCCTAACTTAATTTTAAGCCGGAATATCCCTTTAAGCAGGACGTGGATGTGTGTTCATCTTTTTTGCTGCCTCTTGACCAGGACTCCGTTGAAAAAGAGGTTTTTAATCTCCATGGGACATTACTGGTCAAATAAATGTTAAATAAATTTAAAAAACAGTTCCTGAATGCACAATCATCATCAAACCTTGATTTAAAGAAAACCTTTTGTTGGAGTCATTTGTTTTTCTTCGACGGAGAGGCTTTGCCCGGATATAGAGGCCAATATTTGTCATTTGAAGGATTATCTGTATCAGCATTTCAACAGTTTTAAGTTTATCCTCATGTTGGGCTTTTGATAGGCGACTTTGTGAAATAATAACTCTTTCAGGTCATGTAAAGAAAATGAGACTCTGTTTCCACTTCATCCAAATCTCACAAACTCTGTTTTCTTCGGGAATATTATTGAACCAACCGGCGGAAAATACCAGATCTTAGCTTTGCAAACAAGGATTAAAACGTGCGCTCGTTTGGCCCCGCTCGCCTACAATCCTGCCAACAACACGATCTGACTGGCTGGATGTCAAATGACTGTGTGACGTCGCCGTACTGTTAAAAGTTTCAGTCTGATCAGACATTTGCTAACGGTATTCAAACAGACTTCAGAGGCGGAGTCTGTGTCTGATAAACGGAAATCACAGAGTAGGACTACCTGCCACAGAGGACTCTCCAGCCTCCGCACAGGAACCAGCCGAGGCCTCGCTGTCTCTGGTTGACCCGGGCCCGGGGCAGCGTCTGGTAGTCGCTCTCGTCATTCTCGAAGCCCTCCTCCGACATCATCAGAGGCATCTCATCCAGGTTCGAGGGCTCATCTTCTATTGAGTATCTGTGAGGACAGAGGACAGTCACCTACCATGAAACCATGAACACCCCCTTCCCCTTTAAGTAACCGCCTCTAAACCTTTAATAAGTGATTTTAGTAACCCACACAGATCTGAATTTACGCCTCAGCTTATGTGGCGTTTTGAAGCTGGTTGACTGTCAGTGTTTGAAGAGAAAGCTCTTCGTTAGATCCACGGTACAATATCCAGGAAAAGCCAAGATTAAAGCTACTCAGAGGAGTTGGCTCACTTCCTCTTCCACCAAGTACTGTTGAGAAGAACGACCGCTTTTCACTGAAATGTAAAAGGGACAGTGGAAACACTCTGGAGAGGCACCTAATGTCTTATTCATGAGGCCTCTGCAAAGAATCGTGGAGGTCTACGGACTCCAAAAAAAACTTAATATTGGCTAAACTTAAACCAGTAACAAGCAGACAATAAAAATAGTGAGAAAATTAAAGTACAAAACTTTAAAATTATGACGGACGACATGTAATCGAAACACAGTGATAGGAGAACTGTTGTGGCTCACATTAAAGAAAAATGACACTAAAACAAACTTAAAACAAAAAGAAAAATTAAAACGAACATTTTTATCTTGAATTAAAGTTAATATTTCAAAAGACTTTAATCTAAAAATCCAAAGAAACAAAAAAAACACCAGGTTTTCATTCTAAAATGTTTGTACTCCTTTCTTTACCTTCTGTTTCTCTGACCTCCAGAAAACAGACGATGAAGCTGCGTTTTTCACAGAAGTTTAAGACTCGAGTGTTTAAAGTCAGGTTACAGATGCTTTATTATTTTTAAAGGGGTTAAAAACAAGCTGAAGCCCAAATCCAATCACTTTAACTTCAGAGAAAAGACACGTTTTAGGTTAAAGACTTCGATCTCACTGCTCCACAGTTACACTCTTTAGAAACATCCCTATTCATTTATCCAAAAAGAAAGACTGTATGAGAAATCTTTAAGTAACGGTGTCAACCAAGTGATATTTTCGGGCGTTTCTGCCTTTATTGGATAGGACAGCTGAAGAGAAACAGGAAATGGTTTGAATGGCCTCGAACCAGCGACTACTTCAGCCTCTGTTGTGTACAGCACTGAAACCGCTCTGCTGAGTACGGTGTTTCTCACACTGTAAGGAGGTTTAAAGTCCAATCTTCAGAGGCTGATTGCTAAACAAAAATTAATTCACCAGTCGAAGAGAATCAAACTTTCCACTTTTTCAACAGCTTTCATAACGTACAAATCTGTGGAGACTTTAATCAGTCTGAAATTCAACCTTTACGCCATGACGTCAGAGGAACACGATCATGACATCTGAATTTATGAATTTCTGAGCTCTCACTCTTCTGTACATCATCGAGCATCTTGTGAACCTGAACATGTGAACAAGCATGAAGCTAACATCAGCTGGATTATAAGATTAAGATCCGCCACACACACACACACACACACTCACACACACACACATGTTCTCAGCAATACGTCCCTGCAGACTTGCACAACATGCCAAAGAAGAACATACAGAAGCTGCTGCTGCTGCTGCATGCCGAACGCTTCAGCTGTGAGTTCTGCAACTTCAGCTGAACAACCATGATGATGATTAAAATTATAATGATTTCCTCGAAATCAAGAGTGCTTCTTTTCTGGATTTCCACCGTTTTAGGCAGAGCTAGACAAACGGCTTGACGACAGAAAGTGGGTCAAAGCTAGATGCACACCAGGCCTGTTTTAGGGTCTGATGTGTGACCTTAAAAGATTGGTGGACGTGGTGGACTTAGTGCAAGAGTTAAAAAGTTCTAATATACGAAAGAGGATATCTGCAGACTTAGTTGGTGCCATTTTCTCACACTTGAGACAGTTTTACAGAAACTAGACCAGATCTGCACAATCAAAAATGACCTCAGGAGACATATAATCATGGAGGACGATCGACATTACCAGCTGGGAGTCCAGACTTGAGTTCTTTTTCGCAGTGAAAAAATAAAAACGTCAAAAAAATTGGGTGAAGTATTCCAGACTGAGACGATTGATGTTAAACTGTTTAAAATGGTCTCTTGATCTGAAAGTGCAAAACAGCCACTTGGCGACGGTCTACTCCCAGTCTCCTCTCCTCTCATTTGTCAAAGCGGGTTTTCATCTGAGACAGTTCAACCCGGAACAGTAAATATCAAACATGTTTGATATTTACAATCCCAGGTTAGGGAGGCTCTAACTGGGTCAGGAGCAGTAAAACAGTCGTAATTCGACCGAGCACTTGAGGACAAAATATCAGCGACATACACTAGTGACATACTGGGCCCTGAATTGGGTCTAAAGTCCTCTTGTGTGTAGCCAGTCTGAGGGAATTACAGAAGTTTAATACTTAAACCCATCGTAAGGTGATGCCAATAACGAGTTTAGTTTCAAACCTGCTTTTGACTTCTGCTAACACTGCGCTGGAGGACACATGTGAATCACCGGCAACTTTTCTTCGCCGTTGCTCTTTGTGTACGGGTCGCTGAGACTCGCCAACAAGGAACGTTAATAGCCGCAGTGTTTCTTGCTATGGAACTCCCACATCAGATTGCATAATAACTCAACTCTACAACGGGTGGAAACGTGGGCTGGTTTGTAAAAAGGTTTGCTGGCTTGCAGAGCAGGTATTGTTGCCAACAAATGCCTTCTGTTCCCGTGGAAAAGCTTTATTATTGTAGCTTTAACCAGCTTCAGGGCCTCAGCTCAGCTGCTTACCCAACAGTGTGACCTACACAGAGAGGTCGGGGCCCAATTACCTGTCACATGAATTTTATTACAGAGAGGAAGGGCGAGGATCACAGATTGACAGTAAAGAGACACAATAACAGCCATTAAAGCAGTTGTGTTACTGCGTTTGTGTTTCTTTTTATGTACTTTTTACTATCTGAACTTTTGCTAAAAAGAAACTCCTCACTTCATTATACATGCGTGAGGGAAGTTACAATTTAAGGGGAAAAATTAACTTAAATCTCACTTTAATTTGGACAAAGAGGAAGTGTGTTTCAGGTTTTCCATAGAGTTAAAGCAAAGTTCAAACATGTTTACACAGTTTAAAATGAGGTATAAAGACACGATTTTTGAGAGAATGACCGAACGTGGAGCTGAACGCGGAGATGTCAGCCATGACTTTGAGTCATCCTCTGAAGATGTTATTGTTGAGAAGTTATTGAGTGGCGGTGATTCGGGTATCTCCAAAGTGACGTCAAGCAATTAAGCTGATGTGCAAGGTATGTCAGCGGTCGTCAAAAATCGGCAACACAACAGATCTGTTCAATCATTTAAAGAAGTTCTTCCCGAGTGATTATGCGGAAAGCATGAAAATGTGAGTCGAGTCTGAACAGCCTGTTACTGCTGACGGCATGAGATACATTAGCAGTTTAGCCACAACTAGCGGTGCAGCCACCAAACAAAAGCAGCAATCAATCATATCATCTACATTTACATCATCTAATGTTTACACTTTAAGGCATCTCCATTATTCCTGAGGGGGCGATTTGTTTATTTTGGGTCTTGCATACCTGCAAAAACACTCCGGACTGTAAACTAATTCACTGTTAGTGATAGTAGTATTATATTATTTATCTACATTTGTTGTACTGTTGAGTTTAAGCAGTTTTTCATATTTTTCTAAGTGTATCCTATTTAATTTGCTTTGTTATTTACTTTAATAAAATGTTGAACTAACCTCTAGTTTCTTTAATTTTTCGTACAGATGCTCTAAAACTGGCAGTTTTTAAAAAGATCGCGATAATAATCGATATCGGACGATATGACAAAATATATCATGATCATTTCCTACTTCCTACTTTTAATAAAGTTGTAAGACAGGTAGTTTCACTTCTACCTACGCAGAAAGTCACCTGATCAGAATATTTTCGGACCCTTTCCACCCACAGAGATCTGCTTGTTTTCAAAACCAGCTTATGTGTGTATATTTGTGGTAGCTTACCGGTTAAATACATACATTCATATTGTGTCAACAGTCACTTAACAAACCTACAACTAGCTCTACAAGTACCTGTTCATGGGACTAGTTCACTTCCTGTCCATTCCTGAAACTGAAGACTTTATAAGCTCATCTTCGTCCAAGTCTGTAAAATGAACAAGCTCGTCAATGAAGACTACAGCATGCAGAAGAAACACTTAATAACAATGTGCTGAAGTTATTATCGCAGATCATATGACTCCAAATCAGATGAGAGCAAAGCAGGAGGAAGATATCATGGAGGGATTTTGAGGCATGTAGGATTGGATTAGTGAACAAAAATTAATAAATCAGTTTGATTTGAAGCTTTATGGAGGATGTTGTGAGCAAAAACGAGCACCTGTAAGAGGGAGAATAAAAGCGGAGGAGCTGTCAGAGACGCAGAGAGCTAGCAGCGAAACAAGCTAACAGCCAAGAACCAAAACACCGAGAAAACGGAGTCCAGGGAGCAAGCGAGGCGGCGACATGTCAATATTTCAGTCAAACAGATGTTTCTCAGTCTACAACCGAAGAAACAGCCAAACGGGCTCGCCTCGTACCTTGAAAGTCTAGCTGAGTTGTAATACGGGATCCTCTTCGAGTTCTTCCGCACCGGATTTAACGGGATGCTGTCAGCCATCTTGGCTGGGCAGTACACATTCTGACGTCACATTGAAAAACGTTTCAGGGTTTATGATGCGTTCAAGTGCTCGCTTCAAGTCACGTAAATGTGATATTAACATCAGAGAAGTACCATAAAGTGTGGCCTGAAGTGAATTTTGACGGGATGTTTTCAGTGTTTTCTAACGTGCTTCAATCCTTCTGTTTTTGAAGCATAATTAAGCTCTTTTATAATGGATTTTTAACACTAAGTAAAGCAAAAACAGGATGTGTTGGTATACCAAAAGCTGTCGGATTAAACCACATGTAAGTGTGAACGCTTCCTATGAGTCAGCGAAGGCAACATAGTCAACTGAAATTCATCGTTGACTGTCCGTTTGTCGTTACTTTACATTTTTTGGGATAGTTTATGTACAAATTCGACTTCGAATAAGTTTTGGGGCATTTATGTGACTTTTATTACCGAGAGAGAAAAAAACACATCGACTAACCATAAAATAATGAACACCTGAGCAGTCTAGTGCAACCCAACAATTGTACTTTACACTTTACGTTTTCGAAGCTTCTAGATTATACATTTTTGTTGACCTGGTTAACACAGCCGTTCTTTAAATTATTTATTGGAGTTGTTGTGGGTGTTGTAATGAAGCACAAAAATATATTTAACACCTTTCTATAGTCTATTACACGCCACAAAACACTAACAACATCCAATATATCTTCAAAAATAGATTTAAAGTACAATAATCTGATCTCTAGATTCATGAAAGCAGAATTTATGGTGGAGCTGTTGTATTGGGTTGCACTGGGCTGCCCAGGTATTTGTAATGTTTTGGCTGTTCGCTTTATTGTCTGAAACATAATGTTGATCATATTGACATTAAATTAGAAACACACACCTCATACAGATGAAAATTAGCCCCTTTTTAAGATAGCATTAATTTGCTACTAGTGTGTTCATGTAGGCCACTCATCATCAGCCCTAAAACAGAGGACTTTGCCATATGCTACAAAGTTTACTAATCAAGTTTATCTGATTAAATAATAATATATAAAAATGCCAATCTGTGGGGATGATGTATGTAGAGATGGTAACAGACCGGTTATTTTTCTTCTATTAAATACATCTCCTAGAATATAATGTTTTGGGATATCGAGTATAAATCAGTTAATGTTTGGCCTCCATTTAAATATGTGGTCTAATCCATCTTGCTGTCACCTTTAACAGATGCATGAACTCTTAAGATATAATATGCTTTTTAAAACACATCCAAACTTACGGTAACTTACAGTGAACATTTGCACATCCTTTATTCAAAAGTTTTCCCACTTTGTAACCATATTCATCTCATTTTGTCATGGGATCGCCACAGTTTTTTTATATTTCTTTTTCATCCTGAGCATTTACCTTTACACTTTCTTCTGAATAATTTCACTTTCAGGTTCTTATCAACGTTTCAACAGAGAGGCAGTGATTTAAAACATACAGAGGGTTTGTTTTTAATTTTATTCAGTTCATCTCTTTTTTTAAGAACACAATCTCTCAACATGACATTGACAACATTGCAACTCATACTTGTAGGTGTGTTTATGAGCAGATTTGTGCTTTGCACCAGCAGCGGTGGGCAGCTGTCCAGGGGAGATAGCAGATTCTTTGCATTATTGATTTGAACATATGTTCCCTTCTTATGAGCAACCATACATAGGAGTAGAGCACCGTAGGAATCTTCAGGTACAAGTTAAACATTTTGTGTGTAGAAAAAAAAACATTCACAAATGATGGCAAAGTAAAATAGTAAAATGTGAATACCCTACTATTCTCTGTCAGTTGATAAAAAGTTCTTTTAAGTCTATGTATAATACATAAGAGCAAACAAGGTGTTTTACAAATACTTCAACATCCCGAACAGATTGCATAAGTTTAAAGTCACCGTCCAGCTTCTTTTCAATTGATTCCAATTTCTTTGCTGTCGTCAATAAGCATAGAAAAATGTCTATTATTTCCGAGGTCCATGCTTGTCTTGGTTCGACTGCTAATTGGACCCCCCGCAGCACTCACTCGGTCCATGCCTGCAGTCAGAGGGTGAAGCTGAGAGATGCCTCTATTCTGAATCACTGAGATCTCGTTGTTTTTCGTAGCCAGGCTGTTAGCGATAGCTGTCGCGTATCGGTTCCAAAATCCGGGGTCCACGTTCATCGCTCGAGCTGCCAAGTCCTTCTGAAACATTTCTCCAAACTTCACAGCCTCTCCACCCAGCAGGGCCATGGGGTTCTCCACCGACAGCCGCCGGCCCCTCCTGGCCGGTGCATTGTTCCACATGTGGGTTCCCATATGAACCTGGAAATGGTATGTGAGATGTTAGATTTTTCAAAGCCTTTATTTTCAAGCTGTTTTACAAACAGAAGAAACCGACAGAATGGACTAAACTCTCACAACGATACACCTGAGTCCAAATAAGTTGACAAGATTTTACTGTACTGAAGCTCTAGTGAGAGTTTTGATAGTTATGTACTCAAGAACTCATTAAAAATTCATGACAGATGCCAGTTTAAGCCTCTGAAATGTTAAGGTTTTCTTTTGTAGGTTGAAAGTAAGGGTTTTAGTTTTGACAGATCCCAAGTGCTTAAATAAATCAGAAAACAATCAGGACAATAATGGGTAAAAAATTGTTTTTTAAAAGCTAAAGTCATTTGTGGCAGCCTGCTAGACATGTAGGATTTCCTGTATTTTTCCTATTTTCACACCAGAATAAAAAAGAATAGTTGGAGACACAGAGAGCTGTATTTCTTAGAGGAAATGTTGTTTCATCAAGTGCTGAATGAATTCTCCCTCTTGTCCTTCTTTTCATTTGATTTTTTTCTATTTCTTGTGAAATAGAATTTGCTGTTGCAAGAGTTTGTACATGACAAACAGAGTATGTTTTATATTTCAGCAGGTATTTTCCATTTTACAAACTGGCTTCACTTTCTCTTTTTGTTCTGGGCCTTCCATGAAAAAGCACAGAGCTCATTTATGTGATGAGGGAGGGTGTGAAAACGTTTCCCATGACACTGAAAAACTATCCCATGAAGCGTGGTCTCACTTGTCAGTCAACACAAAGAGCACACTACAACTTGAATCTAAATTGCCTGTTAATGACATACGTTGTTACGCCAAGAGAAATAACTTTATCTACCTTCAGATTGCCTTTGGTGGTGAAAGCTCTGCCGCAGATGGAGCAGACAAACGGTTTCTCTCCAGTGTGTGTTCGCTCGTGGATCTGCAGGGCGCTGGCCGATGAGAAGTTCTTCCCACAGACGTTGCAATTGTGCTGCTTGGGTGTTCGCCGAGGGGGAACGGGGCCAAGCAGGGAGGTCATTCCCGGGCTGCCGACTGGCGCGTAAGTCGGAGGGATGTGGACACCAAATAGCGGGTGCTGCCCTTCGGATGGGTTGTTCGGTTGACTGTGACCGTTGAGCTCGGTTTTTATCATGCTGGGTGGTGGGCTGGTTATCAGACTGGGGATGCTCTGACCTGGAGCAGGAAAAGAAATTGCAGAAGAGATCATTTGATTTTCCAACAAAGAAACGACTCTTGAAAAAAAACCCAAGAGCTGCAAACGTACCTCTGTCTCTGCTCAGCGAGAATGACATGCTATAAGGAGTCTCCTCTTTCACACTTGGCTTGCTGGCCTGAATTCCCCTCAGCTCTTGGGCCTCTGCAGCTCCTGATGCAGAGGTAGGAGACTCAGATTGCTCTCTCTTCACTGAGGCTGCCAAAAGCTCTTGGGACTCTGGCCTGGTCTTGTTCTCAGCGGGTGATTTGATTGTTGTGCTTGGTTGATCGGAGTTGCTTTCAATCGGAGATGAACAGGACGACTCGGACATGTTTGAGCTGTTTGCGCCGAAGATCTCTGTCCTTTTCTCGGGTAAAGCACACTTGATGCTGTCAGTAAAACCATTTGTTAGGGATTGTAAACCAAAGGAGTGGTTCAGAGTTACCGTAGAGTCAATCATCCTCATTTGGTTCTCAAGGGCAGCTATACTTGAGGAAACCGAGGAGGACTTTAAGGGGGAATTGCAGTCTGAGATCGAGAGTTTGGATTGGTTTACACCTTCCTCCATATTTTCCACGTCTTCCTCCTCCTCATTTACGTCTTCCATGGAAACATCATCTGTAAAATCATTGCTATTGCTGCTGAGGCTGTCAAAGTTCCTCTCATTGTCCATCTCCTGCAGCCCGTCCACCATGGTGGAGTCTGGGATCTGCCCTACCATGTGCATGCGGATGTGCTGCTGAAGAACCACGGCGTTTGTGAACTTTTTCTGGCAAATGGGGCACGAGTGTTGCACCTGAACTGGGGGATTCTCTCTGTGAACACCGATGTGGGCCTTCAGGTTCCCTTTGGTAGTGAAGGCCCTCCCACAAACTTTACACTTGAAGGGCCTTTCCCCGGTGTGAATACGGTAGTGCATCTTCAGCGCACTCTGGCAGCTGAGGACACGATGACACAGGACGCATTGATTGGGGTCTGTGATCTTTTTGTCGATGTTCTCCACCAGCTGCTGAAGCTTTGAGGTCTCAGATGTTTGCATAGCGTCCAGGAGGCCACAGGTTTGGAGTTTTGTATCGTCTGAGTGGATTGAAACAGAGGGCGAGTCGGAGACAGGGGATGCTGAGGCAACAGGTTCAGGGGTGGTAGCCACGGACGGGATCATAGTGCTGGTTGCTTCAGTTGCTGGGTTGGCTCTTTGTCTTACGGAGCAGGTTTGGGGCAAGTGTATTTCTTCTGATTTTAGTATATTGGATGCTTCTGTCTCACGGTTAGACTGTGAAGACTCTGAAATGGGAGAAAAATGAGCCTCACTGCCTCTGTGGTTAGGTGACAAAGATACACATTCAAAAGGAGCTGTCTGGAAGGGAGATTTAATGGATGGGGTTACACTTACAGGGTCATTCGAGCCTCCAATACTTGTAATAGTGGAGGACAGAGGAAGCCCAATAGAGGCCGGTAAAGTTGCACCAACAGGTTTGCTATCCAGCCATGAGGAGCCAGGTTTTTCTGGAGGGATAGACATACCGTAGGGAATCCCAGAACTTGTTGGCACGTTGTCAAGATATTCTGGCACTGGGTAGGGGTTCATCTGGACATGAGGATACTTCTCTTTGTGCCTCTGGAAGTGCACCTTCAAGTTCCCTTTTGTGGAGAAGCGATTGCCGCAGATGTTGCATTTGAAGGGCCGCTCTCCTGTATGGGAGCGCAGGTGGATCTGCAGAGCGCTGTCGCTGCCAAACACTTTGGCACAGAACCTGCATTTATGCTTAAAGAATGGCTCCTCTGGGCTAGGCTTCGTCTCGAACAAGGACACGTTTGGCAGTTTCCCTTTCCTGTGCTTCATCAGGGCTGCAAGAGGGTCAAGTGCATTGGCTGTGGCAGCGATGCTAGCCAAGGGATTGGGGAAGATGACGCTGCTAGGGGGGCTCTGAGGTAGAAATGGCAGGCTGGAGGACGAGCTGAGGAGGCTGCTCTGTCCCAGGGGAAGGGGGCTGGAGGAGCTTAGTGTCTGAGTGCTGCTAATGCTGCTGGTGTGCGAGCCTGTGTAGGGAGGAAGTAATGTGGAGATGCTGCTGCTGCTGGAGAGAGGCGGGGTTGAGGAGGCTGAGGTACAGGTTACATCTCTGAAAGAAGATTGTCCAGATACAGTTTGTGTTTGGAGATTTGGTGTCTTTTCAAGTCCAGAAGACATAGAGACAGCAGCCTGTCCGTTGATGGATGAGGGCATTGTTCCTGACAGAGGCAGGATGGGAGGAGGGATGATGCCTTGAGAAGGGAAAGGGTTGGACGTCAGAGACAGGGACCTGGACACCGGGTTCAATGCTGCTTGTGTCGGTTGCCTGTTCATGACGGCGACCTGGCTGCAGATCTGCTCGATAAGCTGCAGCTGGTGGACCTGTTGTTGCTGCAGAGCCAGCAGGTGCTCCAGGATCACTGGGATGGCTGCTGAAGCTGCCTTCCCTCCAGTACCACAGATATTGATCCCTTGGGAGAACTGGGCGACGGCCACCCTCGTGCTTTGAAGGATTTCCAGCGTCACGTTTGTGCTCGGCATGCCGTAGCTGCCAGCACCCGACATCTGGGGGGAAGTGGCCTCGGCTGAATCCGGAGGCGGCGGGCTGGAGGTTGTGGTGTAGTCATCCTGTGGGCGATGCTCAAACTCCATGACTTCATCCCGATCGATCCCTTCCTCTAAAACATCCAGACTGTCGTTGTCGTTCACCAGAGTCTCTCCCAGCTCAAAGCCAGCGTCTACAAACTCTGCTGCAGACGAGTCACTGGACGCCACACTGGGAACTGGAGAGGGTCCAACAGGAGATGCCTCAGGAACTGGCATCCCATTGTCATTGTCCTTTACTATCAACACTAAAGAAGCCTCGGTGCAGACTTTCTGATGTTTGCTCAGTTCAGTCCATGTGAAGAACTCGGCACAGCATTTGTCACAGATGTGTGTTTCCTCACTGCCGCCTCCATCCGTCTCCTTTCTTTCAGTTCCCTCTACGAAGCCTGAAAATTCGGGGGAAAAAAAGACAGATTTAGGATGCAGAATTGAAGTTTTTCATCCACATAGAATTTCTTGAAACACTGAAGTGAAATCAAACACACAGCACAGTCCAAACATCCTGAAAAGTTTTGAAGATGGGCGTTTTTTTCAGACCCTCCAAAGGAAAACAAAAAGTTAAGCAGAATGAAATTTTCAAATTACGAGAAGAAAAGTTATGATTTAACACAAAACTAAATATCCCAGATCTGTCTGGTTAGCCGAATAAAAACATCACATAGTAAATGTTTTAATTATATCCTCCAATTTATATCAGCTGTAATATTTTAGTTTTTACAGCTGAAATGATTGTGAGGAAAACTAGATACATTTTCATTTTGAGTTACCGCCTCCAGGACACACTTTAACAAACCTTCCTCTCCCTGTTTTCACATGTTTATAATCTTGAAAATAAAATAAAAACCTCTTAAAATCAGTGAAGTTATCTAACCTCTAAATTGAGCATTCATACAGATAACGAAACCCTATACCGAGTATTGATTTTTCCAATAATGAATACATTTGAGCTGTCAATCACTTCTCTCTACAACACTGTAAAATAATATTTTTACAGTTATAAATCCTGGTTGTAAAGGTTAAGTGGGTTGAAGTAAGCTGAAGATAACACTGTGCACATATGTCTCTGTTTGAAGTCTAATTTTGTTATTCCAAGCTCTCTGAAAAACATTTTCATAAATTCATACACCGACTTTACCTGTAATGTTTCTCAGCACAATAATGTTTCCATCACAGGAAATAAATGTGTCTTGTCCTGTATTAAGTCTTTCATTTTTTTCTTACAAGCTCTAATTTAAAAGAAGAGCAGAGGAAACTACAGAGAAATCAAAGACCCTCAACATCCTGCTGGTCCTCGCTTGTTTGGCACCTGTCAACCTATTTTTAAATAAACACACACAGACTGTATAATCTGTGTCCAGCAGCACATGTCCTGCGTCTAACGTATAACAGTTTCACTCGTGTTTGACGAAGCTCTATTCATGTTTTAATTTCCTTTTGTTCCTCTTTCAGCAGCTGATTCGTCACATTTTCAGAACAAAGATTTTACACACTAGAATCAGCGTTGCATCTGTTCAGGCTTTGCCCCATTAGGAAACAGCCAGCGACAGCAGATGGAAAGATTTGGGGAAATCAATAGTGAATTATTGTTTCATACACTCAGGCAACAATTTAAGAATTTTTAAGCAATTGAAAACGGCAGGAAAAAAAGTGCTGTTTATTACGAGGTCAAGATAAGACAGTTGAATTATTTTATTTGAGAATTTCACTGTTTCTTGTTTTAACAAAAGGACACTCAAGTGTGTGTGTGTGTGTGTGTGTGTGTGTGTGTGTGTGTGTGTGTGTGAGTGAGTGTGTGTGTGTGTGTGGCCTACATATGTGCAGCACCTTCGCTGTAAAGCAGTGTGTGTGTTTGTGCTGAAATAACTCGTATATATGTTTAAGCCAAATGTGTGTATGCATGTTCATCATGCTCTGCCACCTGACAGACAAAATCCCACTGTGAGATTTCTAGTGTGTGTGTGTTTAAATATAAACTAGAAACAAACGAGTAATCTCTAATTTAGTATTCTGCGGTTTAACAACATTCATGTTAAAAATTCTTAATTCAGAGATTTAAAAAGTCAAATTTTACATTTTTCCCAGCGTACAAGAGTGCATCATCCATGATCGAGTGATTGAAATCGACACAAGAGTCAAACTGCTCAGTGAATATTCAGAGTGGTTGGCTCACTCAGTGGGTGGTCTGTGGATCTCCAGGGCAATCCAGCAAACACAAGCACAAAAAAAAAAACTTTTACTGTTGTAACTCAGGAGTTTGTCTGCACTTTGTATCATTTACTTCCAGGAAAAACAAAGAAAAAGATCAGTTTGGGTTTAAAGCTGTGGATATTTTTCCAAATACAATAACATTAACAAGAGTTTATTTTGAAATGTCAGGCTAACTCCATCCACGATGTCAGGGGCAGAAAGCAGATTTATGTCTGTGTCTTTCTGTGTAGTTTGGCGATGAGTAGAGAAAAAGAAAAATCAGAAAAGCAAACAGACTCTCAGCGCGCCGCCGCTGCCTCTTTGACTCTCTGCGTGACCTCTGGGCTGCAGAGGTCTCGGGATCAGATGTACTAATTGTATTATGATCCAGACGTGGAGCACTTGCCCCTCGCAGGGTGAGCCTGACAAAGGTTAAGTCAGCAGGCTCAATCAAAGTGGTGAAACCCCCCTGACCGGCTGCAGGGCTGAGGGAGGGCCTGGTCAACACTCGACAATAATAATAATAACACAAATAATAACGACAAAGAGGCAAATCCTGTAAGGGAAAGTACATCACAACAACAACTGGGATCATTTAACAAAAGCGTGAGCTGACTCAGTCTGTGCAGGCCTTTCAGCTGGAACAGCAAAAAGTAAATATAAACGTACGTAAAAATTAAATGAGTGATTCTATATTTAATGAATTAAGCTTACAGCTGATTTTAAAAACAACTTTTAAGGCCTGGAGGTGAAGAGCGCAGGCCAAGAGCCAGTCGATTTTCATCCAGCTTCAGTGAAACACAAATTCAACATCTAATTTTCAAAGGGTCATTTTTTAGTTACAAAATCAATTTGTTAATGAAAACTCAAAGGTTTTAAATCTCATTTAGACTGACTTTTGCATACACATGAAGGAAATTATTTTAAAAGTAATAATAGAAATACTAAAGGCTGCTGTAACATATGCTGGCCGTGTGATGAACGAATAATGACCACAAGGCTTTTCATTTTTGTTTTTAATTTTATCTCATTTCTTTTGGTTTCTGACATAATTTTAAAAACTGAATTGTAGAAGAGAGGCCACGTGAATTAAGTACAGCAGTTGAATACACAAGTTTAAAGATTAAATTTCTATCATTTACATTTATATTTTTTTATTTCATCATAAATGTGAAACCTCTAAGAGTTGAAGAAAAGCCCCTCACAAATTAAATCTGTATGAGTTCAGTCTGTAGTGTAGTAATCCAGCAGGCCTTGTCTAAACTCAGCACACTTAAACTTTACTTGTAAAGTGACAAATAAAAAAAGTTGCCAGTTCTTTGCGTTTGTTTTCATTCATGAGATTTCCAGTCGCTTAAATCGACGTTATCTTCATTTTATAAATCTGTAAGAGCTTCTTCCACTGACTCTTAAGACCTAACATAAAAATAAACTACTGTTTATTTTAATCCTTGCACCAAATCATTTATTTAAATTAGTTTGTGTCTTGTTGAAAAACGTGGTTTGGACTGACTTCAAAAGTAAAAGTTCTGATGCAAAGGCGAGGAAAACTAACCTTTAAAACTTGGCGTAATCTGTGAAAAAGTGCCGATTTTCTAGTATCTCAGCCTTTGAGTATTCCTCTTATTTTCAGTCAAAACTCAATTTTAAAAACTAAACTCGAAGACAGTTTTTTGCAGCTGCTGTAAACCCTGGAAAAGTCGCTGCAGGACACCTACCATTGGTGCAGAGGAGTCCGCTCCGTGCCGCTGCTGCTGCCTCCTCCTTCTCCTCCGACTTGAGGTGCTTTGGTTTGGCTTGCTTGCGCCGGGACATGTTGCTCTCTGTGTGGGACTCGCTGCTGCCTTCCGCCGACTCATCTACGAGCAGCGACTGGGACCCTTCCGAGGCAGCGGGCTCCGTGAAATAAGCGATCTGAGGCTGCTGTCGATGCCCGTGTGCAGATTGCGCATGTCAGTGTGATTGTGATGGAGGAAGGAGAATGCTTTTACGACTCTTGCTGCCCTTCGCTGGGTGATTGGCTGAGGTCCAGCCAACTCACGCTAGATATGGAAATGAGGGATGGGGTTTAATAATAATTAGTTCACTTCCTGTCCGGTGCGCGGCGACTTTTACGCAGCTACGAGCGGCTCCAACATGGTTTGATCCGAGAGAACTCCTCTGTGTGAGTGTCTCAGGGGTGAAACTTTCTCGATAAAGACAGCCGAGGTTCAGAGAAGACGCCCCAGCTTGAGCTGACCTCTGAGGATAGATGCAAAAGCAGTTATCCCTTCGTGTCGAGTCTCCTACATCTGCACAAAGTCTCGAACCCACTCGTTAAAGAAGCGTATTCTTGCGTAAAAGTCGAAAACCAGTGCGTAAAAATAAACTTGGTGCGTAAAAATCTCGCTCCGCTCACGTTCCGGTCCGGTCTCAGGCTCCTGGCTGTCGGAAGTGAGACTCCTTGGCTGGTCCGAGGTACCGGCGCTCTCCTTGTAGCCTCCGCCTCCGGTCCATCATTAGATGCCTCTTCAGCCGCCTGCGATAGGCTACTGCCAGGATACCACAGGAGGTGTTGGAGCGCTTGCTTCATTTGTTACGACCTCCCACAATTTGGCGCCATTGTGGACCGAAAATGTCTCTGTGTTTGGTGAGAAACCTAAGTTTGAGGGGAGATCCAAATCAAGGAGGTGTGGATGGTAATCTTTAGGAGATTTAAACTGAATCTTTTTGGTCAGGTTTATGTGTTTGGTCGAGAAAAAGTCACAGATTCCAGCTAAGAGGCTGAACTACACTGGTGTTTGTCACCTTAAACCCAGAATATCAAATAAACCTTGACATCTGGAGCTGTATTTCTGTGTTTAAAGTGGTTTTAATGTTGTTGTTTGATCCTCCTCTGTTCTCAGACTGTAGCTATTCCAGAGCAGAGATGAGAACAGAGAGAGGCATACTTCACCAAAGCTGTAATCCCCCTTCACCAGGCTTTGTCCCAAAACTTGTAATTATGTGGTATTAAAAGATGCAGCTGGGGGAGGACAGAATCAGCTGTTGATAATTGCAAGTACTACACAACAGCCTGGTATTGATCGGCATGTCTCCTATTCCCCTGCTATGGAGAGATAAGGAGGCCCCGCTCCTGCTGGAATATAATTTCTTCTGACCTATCAGGTTGCTACAGACTTATGATGAATAGCCAGAGTGGCCTTATCTGGAAACTCAACCCTCCTTGATTCGATATTGATTCTTTGTAACCGGCGTCGGCACACAGAATCAAACCAGCAGATACTTGACCATGATCTCTTCCAGGTTCTAACTTGGCCTACACCGACGCAGACCGCACTCCAGCGTGAAGCACCACTTCAGTCAGATTATCGTGTACATCTGTTGGAGGAAAAACATTTTCATATATGAAGTTTATTTGGATGAGTGAGGGAGATTCAGCCAATCAGAGGCCGCTCGAGTCACATTAATCATGTTAGAAATGAAGCGGTTAGTTTCAGATATTCATAACGCTCCTGAAAGTAAATCAGTTTTATTTCAAGTCAGTAATTAGATAATTGTTGAAACTGCATTTTCAAACATTTATGAACATTATGAATATTAAAGGAACAAGGTAGTTTCCTTTTTTACTGTTTCTTTGACTGATTAAAGCTCCTGTGAGTGTCAGTCTTCGCTAAAGCTAATGCTAATGCTGTCTTCGATGTGATTAAAGCTCCTGTGAGGATTATTTTTATGTTTATGAAACAGACTAAAATTTATATTGATGACTTTTATGATGTAAAAAAACAAACAGGGCGATCAGAAACAAGTCCGATGATTTTTAAATGATAATTTTTAATGCCTAAACCTGTGCAAGAGGGTAAATATTTCAGCTAGCAGCTAAAAAAAATCCTGTTTTTACATTTTTTTAAATGTAAAATATTTACAGTTAATCATAAATCTGTCAAAAGTCAGAATGATGAGTCTATACTCGAGCTCAAAGGAAACAACAAGCAAAGACTGTTTTGTCCACAGGGGGCGCCAAAGTGTACACGAAATAAGTTCTTTACAGGAGCTTTAAGTGGTGTCTCCTATCCTGCCAATATTTGACAGTCAAATCTACATTTTTATGTGAAACCAGGGTTTTTTTTTTCGCACTATAAGGCGCACCATAAATGAACACATCTATTTTCATACATAAGGCGCACTGGACTATAAAGCGCATTAAGCCAAATAAAACAGTCAATAACTTCGCAAGGGTATAGTAGCTGCAGTGCTCCGACAAGCCAAAAGGATTTCGAGTGCGCCTTATAGTGCGAAAAACACGGTACCCCCTCAGACATTGAAAATTAGACTTAAAAGTCGTGAGTCTTGTTGCTGCTAATAAGTATCATGAAAAGACATCAGTGTGAATTAAAGGGGCTCTTCTTTAGCTTTCTAAAACACAAAAATATATTTAATAATTCATTTTTACTGCATAAACCCCCCACTTTAAATATGGACAGTATGGGCCTGAATTTATGTCACTAAAATTAAAAAATATAAAACTTTAAAGATGTTTCTGGAAAGTTTTTGCAGCTTCTGAATATCAGCTAATGGCTTTGATAAAGTCCTAAACATCATATCTTAGTAAACTTACAGCATCAAATCACTTAACTTTCATTTACTGTTTCCATTCATTTGATGTTTCTTTTTTTAATTTCAACTCTCTGAACAAACTTGTGTCACTTTTAAAAAATAGACTCCCGCCTATTATGAAGTACTGTCCCTGATAACTGAAAACTGAGCTCCCCTGAATTGAGGAGATTCCCTTTCCGTTCATAGATTACAGTGCACTCTTCATCATGCAGGAGCGTCCTGCCAGGTCAGGAATGCTGCTTCGCTGTTACGAAGCGCGAGGCCTCAGATGGAGATATGACAAGCTAATAGCCCCCAACCCGCCATCACCACCACCACCACCACCGGCGCTCAGACAGACAGCGATCAGCTCAGAGAAAAATGTGAAGCTCTGCAGAGAAATGTCAGGCCTTAAAGACACAGAAATACTAAACTCCACTGAAGGGCTATGAAATCTGGGTCCACAAGATAAGTCCTGAGATAGATCTGCTTTTTTTTTTATAAGAGTCAGGTGAGCTGGAAAAGTTATAACAAACTGGACGAGCTAAAGCAGGAGAGGAGAGAAAGGTCAGATATCAATAACCCTCAAAAATCGTCACCAACTTGCAGAGCAGAACAACTTTTTGATGTTGTTTCTCACATCGAACCATCATCTACCACATGAACGTGAAGCTGTGTTGGAAAAGACCTGTAAACTTTGATGACTGACCCGATTTTAGATTAGATCAGATTAGTTTAACTTTTCAGTTTTGAAAGTCTATGAAAACTCTCTGCAGCGAGGCGAATCATAAAGAAATATTAGTCCATAGTAAGGAAAGCCATGTTCCCCCTCCACTACCACTTATTTGAGTCGCATGACGATATAACTTGTAAGTTCTTTTGAAGACACAGACACTTCTTCACCAGGTACAATCACCGTTAAGACTGTTTGTCAGATAGCCACACTGCAGGTTATCGTCAAACTTTATACAAAGAGAGATAAAGTCGTTTTTCTGACAATCTCATCCTGTCCAATAAAACGGAAACAGAAGCTAACTCAGTTAAGTAAGCTCATAAAAGCCTGTCTTGTTTCTGTGATTTAACATAAACGCCAGTATTTTGGGAAATCCTCTGTTCTCAGTATTCTCAGCTCTATTTTAAAGTCTTTGACCTTAAATTCTGAGTCACACTGATGACTCCTGATATAATAATAACCGGTAGAAAATGTGAACCTTGATGGGATTAAGTATGAAAGTTCGAGGAATCCTTCGTGAAAGAAAAGGATTAGAAATATCCAGCAGTAAGAAGCGCCACAGGCTGCAGCCTCAGCTGTGATTTACGAGCCCGTGGTTCCCTCGACTTCATCTGATTTACTTTTCTATGAACCCGACGGCATCATAACAATTTTTTAGCTGAAAATATCTCTCCTTCGGGGGCTCCAGGGTGGCCCCACACCTTTGCCTCCCCTGCTACAGAATAGATCTAAAAGAATTATACTCGCTCAGGCTTTGTTTCCACATATAATCACACAAAAGGATTTCTCCTGAAAATGATCATAAATCACAGGCCGGATCAATACGCCCGGCCCGGGCTGCACTAGCCTGATAACACAATCAATACGGGGTATTTGGATTTTAATTAATACATGACAACGCCCAGGACCTGAAACAGTGAAATATGACCTCAGTCCCTTTTGAAATACGTCCTGCAGAGCATCACACGCCACAGCTCATCAGACGTCAATGTGATCTACCTGATCCGCTGAAGACAGGGACAAGCTGAGAGACAGAGAGCAGGAGGAAGAGGAGGAGGAGGAGGAGGAGAGTGGACATGGAGACCAGGGTGAACAAGGCCAAGAATCAGTCCAACATCTCTATGAGGTTGAATTAGAGAGGAGAGATCGGAGTGTTTCAAGACACTCCTCATACGTCGATCTGATTTTACATCATCAAGATGATCAAATCACTGCGACTCAGTCTTCATGTAAATACTAAAATATGCCATCACTCAAATAGCGACTCATCCTGAGAGGACAAGTGACTCCTGTTAAAAACCTGTTTACATTTTCTGAGATTTTTATTAAAATATATTAAGATATTTAACAAAATATAACGTTTAAAATGCAGGAAATCAACATGGTGGTTGGGATTCATCCTCTGGAGAGAAGTAGTATCAATTCAACATTTTGGAAATACGGATCTAAATTTATCAAGATATTTTAGCAAAATTTTAAATTATCAGTCGATGTTCTACTGAATACTTCAGGGGGTTTTCAGAGTTAGGGTTTATTTTCTGGGGACCCTGAAAAACTTTTTTCAGACATTTGGAGATGGAAGTCTAAAATTTTGCTGGATTTTTAAGAAGCAAATCAACAACATTGAAATACTTGTTGCTCTGTCTGATTATAAAAGATGTATTAAAGGCAGAGTTATTGGTGTTCATCTTCTGAGGATCAGGAAAACCTCTTTTCTGATTTTCAGACACAATGATCTAAAATTTCTGAAGCTTTTTAAGCAAAAGAATCAACAACGCTGATCTACTCCTAACCCAATTAATAACTAAGGGAGTCAGCAGAGTTATTGGTGTCTATCCTCTGGGGACAAGGAAAATCTTTTCAAGAAATACATTTAAAAAAGCCACGCAAGTTTACTTGGGATTTTCCTCTAAAAACAGAACACATTAATGTAATTGTGGCTCTATTCAATAACTCAGGAGGTCAGCAGAGATATTGGTGTTCATCTTCTGAGGATCAGGAAAACTCCTTTTTTGATTTTCAGACACAATTATCTAAAATTTCTGAAGATTTTTTTAGCAAAGGTATCAACAACATTTACCTACTTGTAACACAATTTAATAATTCAGGGATTTAGCAGAGATAGTGGTGTTCATCCTCTGGGGACCAGGAAAATATTTGGAAAAAGTCAATTAAATTTTCTTGGGATCTTCCTCAAAAAAACAAAAACACCAATGTAATCGTGGCTTTATTCAATGACTCAGAGTTATTGGTGTTCATCCTCTGGGGACTAGGAAAACCTCTTCTGAATTTTAGACACAGTAATTTAAAGAATCAACAACACTGATCTACTTCCAATTCTATTTATTAATTCAGGGATTTAGCAGAGATATTGGTGTTCATCCTCTGGGGACCGAGAATGTATACAAGAAGTCAGCACAAAAAATCTAAAAGTATAAAATAAAAAAATCAAAGTATTAACCTACATGTGTCGAATAAAATGTTGTGACCAGTGAAGTTGAATTTGTTCATCCTCTGGCGACTATGAATCTAAAATGTAAGATACTGAGATCATTCGTAGTGTGGCGGACTGGCCTGCAGACACATGCAGGAGTCACTCTGCTTACATGTTTTAAAACAAAGCCTGATCACCCGAGTCCATCTTCACGTCCCCGCGGAGAGACCAACAATTGTCAGGACCGATATGGAGGCTCAGACGGGCTGCGGTGCAATATCCAAAACCTTCACTCAGCAGTTATTGCAGCTGAATGAGAGCGGGTCCTTCATCCCAAAACACAAAGCAAAGGGGGAATAGACCAAAAAGAAATCAAAAGTGAACAAAGAGGGATTGAACAGAGAGCGCAGGGTGATAGACAGCAGCGAGACAGGGCTGTTAGGTTATGTAGACCCAGGCCCGAGTGGCTGGGAAATTTCTGATCGCTTTAATTCACTACACCCAACTTGGCTCTCTGCTTTTATCTAACACTGTGTTTCTGTATTGATTTTTTCTCTTTATCTTCCAGGCCGGATAAGAGGACAGAGAAGTACGGGAGTGAGAGTGAATGGAGAACTTTCCTGAAGATTGCTGCTATTCTCCGCCTTATTGCCTCCTGTCCTTCATGATTTCACATGACGTCCCAGGTGTCAGGAGCGCCTTCAGGCTGGAAATGAGGAAGCTGATGATACAATTGGACTGGGATCAAAAAGAAGGGAATTGGCAAAAAGTATAAGAATAAACACTTTTCTTAGAGTTCACTGGAAATATTTTCAAAAAGAGTCAAGAAGGAGAATAATTTTTCCTTTTTTCCAGGGGAGCGAGGAAGGTGTTGCCGTAACCTCTCCTCACTGCTGTGTTTGTTTTTTAACACATAAAAGCTTTATAATGATGTGTTTGGGACTTTGTTGACGTCCAAGTTTACATGACAACAAGCTGCAAATTTTAGGAAAAATGAGAGGAAATGTTCCCCTCTCACAAAGTTGCGTGCCAGTTACAATGAGAGTAATAAAACAGTAGTTAATTACAACCTGTGAGCGAGTCATCTGAGGCTGAGGAGGGAAAACAGAGCGTGGCGTGACGTGACGTAGAGGCCTCCTCGTCATGAAATACACCAGAGCCTGTGATGATGACAAAAGATCATTTACTGATCCGAGAGTCAGATTTAAAATTCAAAGAAGTATAAAAGTTTAAAAGTTAAAGATTTCTAAAAACAAAGAGCAGAGACTCGTGAATGCAGCAGCAGGAAGTCTCCCTCTCATCCCTGAAACAATTAGACAGCACAATTGTTTCGAATGAGAATGAGCTGTTTCAGGAGAGAGAGAAAGAAGTCTTTTCAGCGCCGACCAACAAAAGAGAGTCCCCACAGAGAGAGACTGTGAGGATCAACAAAATCAGCAGTGTTGATTTATTTTGACGAGGAAAAAGATCATGAACCGCCTGATACGAGAACGGCCTTCATTATATCTGAATAAAAGTTATAAGTTTGAGGATATTTGGGACTTTTTAGGGGAACGTAATCCAACAACACAGAAAATGATTATTCTGGAGTTTTAATATGACCTTCTGTGAAAACCAACTGAAACTATCTGAATGAACTCGCTGCAGAAGTGAGTTAAAGTTCAGTCTTTAAGGTTCAGAGGTAAATCATGAAGATTTAGAGCCAACATTTGTAAACAGTACAGAACATAAAAAGGAACTTTCTCTGAACAGAGAGTCCCACTGAGACAGGGGGGACTACAAACTTTCTCTTATGAAGGATTGAGGCAACATTAAGAGAGAGTTCATTAAATTATGTTAATCTAGAGTCAAGTTTCCACAAACGAAACTGTAAGAGAGTAAAGTCGTACATCGATGAGAATGAAGCTGAAGATTTATCATTAATTCATGAGATTAAAGTTGGACATTGACCAGAACAAAAATGTGATTTTACAAAATTAAAACTGTGAAAAAATAAAATCATAATCTGACAGTAAAAAAAGCTACAAAAGTCTTAAATTGAAGATACGACTTCAGTTACACGGCGCAAAAATAAAGTCATATGAAGCTGAAACTTATAAACTTAAGTTGTAAATTTACAAAAAGTCCTACATGTACAAAAGTAAAGTCAAAAAATTTATGTAAAATTATAAATTTACAAAAAAATGTTATAATTTTACACATAGTCGTATTTTTAAGAAAATAAAGTCACTGATTTATGACAATAAGAAACAACAAAGGAATAAAAAACTCTTCTTAAAGTTTGCTGTTTTCAAATTGCTTTAAGTTTTTATTAACTGATTTATAATTTTATTGCAGTAATTTTAGGAGAATTAAGTGGTGGGAGGAAAAAGTCATTTATTTATAAAGTTAAAGCTCATATATCACAAGATGAAGGTCATAATTCACAAAATAAAGTTATAATTTTACATGAAAAAAGTCAAATTTCAGAGATTATCATCCAAACTTTACAAAAATATAGTCACACGACAAAGACAATGTAAATTTATAAAAATACAGTCTAAAAATTATGAGAAAAAAGTCTGAAATATTCTAAAAATACAGCAGGTCAAGTTTCCCTTCGTTCATTTCAGTTTAAACAGCATTTTAAGTCTCTTCAGTTTGAATAAAAAACGCTTTAATCCAGAAAGATTTTTGAGGGTTTTTTTATCTGAACCTGCCTCCGAGTCTCCAGAAAGACTTAAAAAAACTAAACGTATAAAAAAACCAGAACAGAACCTCAAAGTGACGTATTAATTTCTCTCAATGATGTTTCTGTTCAGCCGCTCTTAGTCATGATCGATTTGAGTCTTTTTAAACTTAAGATCAGAGATAACTATTGTTGTTTTTGTATAAATAAAAACAGTAAAATACTTAAATACTATAATTTATGTCACAGGTTTGAATGTAAAACGGCGTGTAAAATGTCCGACCTGAAACCCCCCTCTACTTCACATCCACGTTCAGGCCGCTCTGGACCTCTTCGCTCTCGTTACCGAGGTAAAATTCTGGATTAAGGTCAGGGAGACGTGTGGCCCTGCTACTTTAAAATGTGCAGTAAAAAGATCTGATGCGGTGATGAACGGTGCAAACACGTCCTAAAACAGTGAGAGGAGCCCTGCAGGCATCTGTGACACGTCAGAGCAACATATGTGAAGATTTTTCAGCCTCCTGGTCCAGGGTATCTCTCAGCGGGAGAGCCGCAGAGGACAGAATAATGATTAGGAAAGTCATCTTGAAGCCCACCAGGAGAAGACGCACAGACAGTCCTCCTCATAACCACGAGCTACAGGCCTTTAAGTGCAGTTAACCTCTGCTGCCACATCAGCAGAGCCAAAACAGGAAAGTGAGGAAAGTGAAACTAAAAAAAAAAAGAGGAGACGTGTCGAAGTAAACAAAGGAAAATCAGAGAGACACGAAGGACGAGGTCAAGCTTACTCTTGTCTGTTTCAGATCCGTGTGAAATGTGAAGTCAAAGCTCACAAAGATTCCTGCAAACAAATGAAGGTGTTGTTGTCTCCGGCCCAGTAAAAAAGTAAACGGCCTGCTGCTGTCTGCACACAATGAAAAGGAGGCGAGAAAAAAACAGAAACTCAAAGAGGCCAGACTGATTTTTATGTGAATGTTGACTAAGAATGGTCTCCATCTGTGTAAACCCACTCAAACAGTGACTTCCTGTGAGTAACAGTCTGAAGCCTGGAGCGAATCACTGATATTTATCATGCAGGATGGCACACATTCCCAGGCTCCCACTCTGACTGCTGCTCGGGCCTGCAGAGAGAGAGAGAGACTGAAGAAACCAGCGTAGGTACGATTCTGGTTTAACTACAAACACACAGCAGACACAACAACGCATGACTGATTATAAACCGTGTCCACAAACTAAAACATGGAACATTAAAACACACAAAAAAACAATAAAACTGTCTTGGTTTAGGATGTTAGGGTGGTCAATTTCATTTCAAAGGGGGCCATGACCACTTCTGCGCCCGCCCAAGACACGCCTCTGCACCGATATGAATATTAATGACACAACATCAGAAATCTGAAAACTGACCCTCAGTATTCAAAGTGTCTATTACAGCAGATGTGAAGAGTTACAGGCATCAAACTCACAGTAAATACTGATATTATTCAGTTTAACTCACAGACTGAATATTAAACTAGATGCTGCAAGTGTTCACTGAATACGAGGCTAAAACATTAAGAGCTCCCCCTACTGTCAGGCTGCAGTATTGATCATAAATCCTGCCTATGTTGTACATCAGATACACATTTGTAAATATAGCTTCTGTTGTTATGTTTTTAATTAATAAGACACGTCATTAACAGCCTGTTCAGTGCTGGATTTGCAGAGGGCAAACTTTCCTTACCATGAGTGTCCGCTCCGGGTCAGGACAAGGATCTTTGCAGAAATCTGGGATGCAGGACTCGACCGTGCGACCTTTTCACTCGCATTTGCAACAAAACATAGATGTGTGCGAATTGTAAAATGTATCTAGGGTCACATGTGCACATAAAAAAATCTGCCGAGGCAATGTAAATACCGCGAGAAGTTAGTTTTAGGTTGGATATCCGACGGACATTCACTGCAGATCTACCGCTGTCTTCTCACTCTCCATAACCGGGAATAACAACAGCAGCGCGGTTAAATCTACTCGGCGCCCTCACTGTCAACGCCGGGTGTTGAATAAGGGACTGTCAATAAATTACCGGTTGATGTTCTTAGAGGAGGCTGTTTCCCTTCAACAGCTTCCATGTCATGTGACCAAAAGACCTAAAATTGATTTTAAATAATAGTACTTGTGCCGACCAATAAGACACACATTATGTGATCAATTTTTATTGTGCCCCTAAAGTTCTTTGTGTGATCCTTACTTTTTCATCTTAGGAGCACATGTGAAAAAAGTTGGTGTCAAGCTCTTGAATTCAGATTATTTGCGGTATCTTTGCATCAAAGTTTCCCCGTGAGAACTTCAGTGATGTTTCGACATGTTCCCCTTGTACGTCAGAGGCAGTAAACACACCGTGCAGTGTTTTTAACAGGAACGCTCTCGCTCAGCTGTCACCCGGCTCCCCTCGTATTAATGATGCAATAAAAGGCCGTACAGGAGGAGCAGGTCACGGGTAATTGCAAAGTCATGCTCCATAAGGCTGACACGGTTTATTTGATTAACCTCCAGTAACAGGTCAGATGTTGGGAATATGTTTTTAGCCGCACGATCACGGGTCATTTATGACCGCCTGCTGATGGATAATCAATAACTGGACGCACAGACGGCCTGAAGGATGACAAAATCTATCAGCAGGGTCGTGTTTGTGTTATGTCTGGTCCTACAGGCCGAGGAGCGGGTTCATATCGAGATCCTGTGAGGGATTGTTAACCAGTTTTTACTGAGCTGCTGCAGAGAAAGAAAGAAAGAAAGAAAGAAAGAAAGTCAACTTTTCTTCTTCTTCTACCTGCCTCTCGCTTCGTTTCTCTCAGCCACAAAATGGCAGCATGTGCGTCAAAGAGAAACGATGGCGTGGAGAGGGAGGGGTCGTAGAGAGAGAGAAACAAATGTCATGCAGTGCTAACAGTAAAAACAGTCCAATCCACTTTACAACAGTTTATCATCCTGGGCAGAGCTTCACCAAACGGACTCCCTCA